CACCACCTCCACAAACCACCAGCACCACCACAACCCACCACAACCCACCACCACCACCACCACCACCACCACCACCACCACCACCACCACCACCACCACCACCACCACCACCACGACCACCACCTCGGGCGCTGGCCCGAGGAGAGGGAGAGAGGAGAAGTAGGGAGGGGGGGGGGGTTTGAACCCCCCCAGGCCCAAGCGACTACAGAACGCGCTCTTTCGCTATAAATATACGTTTCCCTCAAGTGGATGGGGCGATTTTTGCCTCCTGGGGGTTCCCTTTGGGGGCCCCTTGGAGCGTGTTGGGGGCTCCTTGTGCTGTCTTCAAACCAGTTTAGGCGCTCTGGGAGCACTCTTGGGCCGTCTTCGGGCCCTCTTGGGCCTCTCCGACGCCGTCTTGGAGGTATCGTGGGCGCTTTGGGGGCTGTCTTGGGCCGAATGGGGGCCTCTTAGGCGTTCCTGGGGCTGACTTGGGCCGTCTGTGGCGCACAATTGCCCAAACTTGGGGGTATTAAATCTGAAACCTGGGCTGCCTACCCCCCCTGGTTATTTCTCCCGACTAACGGATCGCGACGCTACGCGTGCTTTCCATCACCTGAGGTCCTGGTTGCCTACCCCCCTTTGTTAGGCCGAAACCTGGGGGTATTAGATTTGGCGCCCAAGCTGTTTTCTTCCGAATAAAGAACGGATCGCGAAGCTACGCGCGATTTCCGTCATCTGACCCCCGGGCTGCCTACCCCCCCCTTGTTCGTTCTCCCGGCTGACGGATCGCGACGCTACGCGCGCTTTCCGTCATCTGGGCCTGCGGCTGCCTACTCCCCCCCCCCCCCCGGTTAATTCTCCCAACTGACAGATCGCGACGCTACGCGCGCTTTCCGTCATCTGGGCCTGCGGCTGCCTATCCCCCCCACCTTGTCATTTCTCCCGGCTAACGGATCGCGACGCTACGCGCGCTTTCCGTCATCTGGGGCACCTGCTGCCTACCCCCCTGTTACCTGCCCCGACTAACAGATCGCGACGCTTCGCGCGCTTTCCGTCATCCGAAGCTACTCCTGCCTCCCCCCCTCCCCCCCCACGGGTAAGGCTAACGGATCGCGCTTTTCATAATTTCATTTTTTTCCCAACCCTACTGTGTTGGGTTCTCGTTTAGAATAGAGCAGTGTGGTCTCCACCCTCCTTCTCCCGCCTCCTCGCTCCAGCCTTCTGTGCTCTCCTGCCGTCTGGTTCCTGATTCCTGCCTCGCCGTCTTGTCTGTTGGGTGGCCTTGCCTAGGGGTTGCTATCACTGGGGGGGGGCTGCGATCTGTGCAACTGTCGCCACTTTCGTGGGCTCTTGGGAGGCCCAGCGGAGGTACGTCATACGCGGATCACCTCGGTACCTCGCAGCCCCCTGGGGGCTTGCGATCTGCGCAACTGTCGCCACTCTCATGGGCTCCTGGGAAGCCCAACGGAGGTACGTCATACGCGGATCACTTCGGTACCTCGCCGCCCCCTAGGGGGCTTGCGATCTGCGCAACTGTCGCCACTCTCGTGGGCTCCTGGGAAGCCCAGCGGAGGTACGTCATACGCGGATCACCTCGGTACCTCGCCGCCCCCTGGGGGGCTTGCGATCTGCGCAACTGTCGCCACTTTCGTGGGCTCCTGGGAGGCCCAGCGGAGGTACGTCATACGCGGATCACCTCGTACCTCGCCGCCCCACGGGGGGGCTTGCGATCTGCGCAACTGTCGCCACTCTCGTGGGCTCCTGGGAGCCCAACGGAGGTACGTCATACGCGGATCACCTCGGTACCTCGCCGCCCCCTAGGGGGCTTGCGATCTGCGCAACTGTCGCCACGTTCGTGGGCTCCCAGGAGGCCCAGCGGAGGTACGTCATACGCGGATCACCTCGGTACCTCGCCGCCCCCTGGGGGGCTTGCGATCTGCGCAACTGTCGCCACTTTCGTTCGTGGGCTCCTGGGAGGCCCAACAAGGGGTCATACGCGGATCACCTCGTACCTCGCCGCCCCGGGGGGCTTGCGATCTGCGCAACTGTCGCCACGTTCGTGGGCTCCCAAGAGGCCGCAGGCTTGCGAGGTACCCAGTACGTCATACGCGGATCACCTCGGTACCTCGCCGCCCCCTAGGGGGCTTGCGATCTGCGCAACTGTCGCCACGTTCGTGGGCTCCTGGGAGGCCCAGCGGAGGTACGTCATACGCGGATCACCTCGGTACCTCGCCGCCCCCTGGGGGGCTTGCGATCTGCGCAACTGTCGCCACTTTCGTGGGCTCCTGGGAGGCCCAGCGGAGGTACGTCATACGCGGATCACCTCGGTACCTCGCCGCCTCCTGAGGGGCTTGCGATCTGCGCAACTGTCGCCACGTTCGTGGGCTCCTAGGAGGCCCATCGGAGGTACGTCATACGCGGATCACCTCGGTACCTCGCCGCCCCCTGGGGGGCTTGCGATCTGCGCAACTGTCGCCACTCTCGTGGGCTCCTGGGAGGCCCATCGGAGGTACGTCATACGCGGATCACCTCGGTACCTCGCCGCCCCCTAGGGGGCTTGCGATCTGCGCAACTGTCGCCACTTTCGTGGGCTCCTGGGAGGCCCAGCGGAGGTACGTCATATGCGGATCTTGCGATCTGCGCAACTGTCGCCACTTTCGTGGGCTTCTGGGAGGCCCAACGGAAATACGTCATACGCGGGTCACATCGGTACCTCGCCGCCCCCTAGGGTGCTTGCGATCTGCGCAACTGTCGCCACTTTCGTGGGCTCCTGGGAGGTCCAGCGGAGGTACGTCATACGCGGATCACCTCGGTACCTCGCTGCCCCCTGATGGGCTTGCGATTTGCGCAACTGTCGCTACGTTCGTGGGCTCCTGTGAGGCCCAGCGGAGGTACGTCATATGCGGATCACCTCGGTACCTCGCCGCCCCCTGGGGGGCTTGCGATCTGCGCAACTGTCGCCACTTTCGTGGGCTCCTGGGAGGCCCATCGGAGGTACGTCATACGCGGATCACCTCGGTACCTCGCCGCCCCCTGGGGGGCTTGCGATCTGCGTAACTGTCGCCACTTTCGTGGGCTCCTGGGAGGCCCAACAGAGGTACGTCATACGCGGATCACCTCGGTACCTCGCCGCCCCCTGGGGGTCTTGCGATCTGCGCAACTGTCGCCACTTTCGTGGGCTCCTGGGAAGCCGAGCGGAGGTACGTCATACGCGGATCACCTCGGTACCTCGCCGCCCCTTGGGGGGCTTGCGATCTGCGCAACTGTCGCCACGTTCGTGGGCTCCTGGGAGGCCCAGCGGGGGTACGTCATACGCGGATCACCTCGGTACCTCGCCCCCCTGGGGGTCTTGCGATCTGCGCAACTGTCGCCACTTTCGTGGGCTCCCGGGAGGCCCAGCGGAGGTACGACATACGCGGATCACCTCGGTACCTCGCCGCCCCCTGGGGGGCTTGCGATCTGCGCAACTGTAGCCACTTTCGTTCGTGGGCTCCTGTGAGGCCCAGCGGAGGTACGTCATACGCGGGTCACCTCGGTACTTCGCCGCCCCCTGGGGGTCTTGCGATCTGCGCAACTGTCGCCACTCTCGTGGGCTCCTGGGAGGCCCAGCGGAGGTACGTCATACGCGGATCACCTCAGTACATGGCGGCCCCCTGGGGGGCTTGCGATCTGCGCAACTGTCGCCACTCTCGTGGGCTCCTGGGAGGCCCAGCGGAGGTACGTCATACGCGGATCACCTCGGTACCTCGTCGCCCCCTGGGGGGCATGCGATCTGGGATGCCGAATCACACCGGATTTCTTTCAACGCCCCTGTGTTTCTATTTTGCATATTTGCCGTTCCTATTCTTGCTGCGCTGTTCTGAAATCACTGCTGGGTGCTCTTCTTGCGCACTGCGGGTCCTTCAGAATTCCAGTCAGCATTGAGTGGTCCTCAGTATAGTCGCCACATGTATAGACAGGGTTGGATACGTCACAGGGTAATTTGTTTTTTGGTCTTTTTGGAGCCTCCAGAAGCTTTCGGGGCCTTTCAGAAATTGGGGGTGGGGGGGGGGCGGAGGCGGATGACGATGAGGATGAGGAGGGGGAGGATGGGGAGGGACGAGCGAGGAGAGTAAAGGGGGAGGAGGAGGAGGATGAGGAGGAGGAGGATGAGGAGGATGAGGAAGAGGCGGAGGACGAGGACGATGAGGAGGCGAGCGCAGGAGAAGGATGACGACGACGAGAAGGACGAGGAGGAGGAGGACGAGGAGGAGGAGGAGGAGGAGGAGGAGGAGGAGGAGGGGGAGGAGGAGGAGGAGGAGGAGGAGGAGGAGAAGGAGGAGAAGGAGAAAGGGGAGGAAGGTGTGCGTGAGAGGAGGGGGATGAGGAGAACGACGGACTTTTACCGGAGCTGTGTCCAGTTTGCAAGGTGCGAGAAGCGCTCGCTCCAGGACCGACCCGAGGGCGGGGGAGGAATAGGAAGAGGAAGAGCAGAGAGGCGTGAAGTGAGGAGTAGAGAGGATGGGCAAGCGGGGGGGGGGGAGCAGGAGGTGGTAGAAGAGCACAGGGGGAGCATGTGGGCAGGAGAGGGGAACTGCAAGACGGTGATGAGGAGGTGGGGGTGGAGGCCGAAGAGAAAAAGAGATTCCCACGCGCGCGGAGGATAGTAACTTCAGTGTGCAACGAGCGCATCCGGAGAGTACCGCGTTCCTCTCGACCAGAGGTCTCCTCCCGTCTCTCGTTGCAGAGGATGCCCCTACCCTCTCCTCCTGTCCCCCCCCCGCCCTGGAGCACTTCCTTCGTCCCCCACGCCCCCCCTCCCAAATCCTGCAGCTACAGGATCCCTCCAGCAGCCGAATGCAACCGATCTCCTGAAGCGTTCAACGTCATCGAGACAAACGATCAAGGGTCCAGCTGGAAGTGCACGACATGGCCTGGTCCAGCATAAGTTCGTCCCAACCGCCTACTTCGTATCAATCAGATTCCTGACCTGCTAAGGCGCCGTGTCCATGCAGTCGACATCGGCGGCAGTGATATTTTTCGCGTACCCGGTAAGACAGATCACCGACCCAGTAAGCGATAACGCACAGTGCATATTACCGCAGAAGGCCTGCGCAAGCGGTGACACCTGTGAGTCAGAGGCGCTGGAATGCTCGCTCTGGCTTGCATCATGCTGATGAGCAAAAGCAGCACCCATCACCGGCCTGACGGTGAGCTCTGAACGAATGGTGAAAAACTGAGCTCCATCCCAGACTGCGGCCAAGCGCGTCGAAACATAATGCGCGGCTGGTTTGTCTAGATCGCCTTTCTCGTCACACATTCGTATTCCACTTAACGCATGCATCCTATCGGACGCGTAGCTCAAGTGTTATTTGTATTGGCTGCCGTGCAGAGACAAATCCTTGCTGGAAGTTCCCAGATAGCAGGTATCTGAATTTTCTTCATGCTGGGTGCAACCATGCATTAAAAGGACTCTGCACGGATCACACAAAGGACTTGGCGCCACAGCAGAACTCGCTGCTGGATGAAACAAAAAACGGACTTGCACTCTGCAGAGAAGGCCGAAACAACGTGAATATTGGGATCCGATCTCTGACGTTCAATGCCAACAACTCATGGCACCCTGGCGCTGCACGGCACCACGCGGCGCGGTCTGGGGGGCACCAAAGTGGGCTCCGCGGCTACTGGCAAGGCACAACACGCGACCCACGGCACGGCACCACACCGCAAACCACCACAAGCAGCCCACACTTGGCAACCGAAACAAACTTCAAGACACGACGCACGCCACCGCACGGAACACACCACTACAGAAAGCAATACCCAGCACCCTCCGCAGCTGCGGTGAAGAATGAGGGGGCGGGCGCGGGGTGGGTTGCGGGTGGGTCGCCGGGTGGGTCGCGGGGTGGGTCGCGGGGTGGGTCGCGGGCGGGTCGCGGGGGGGGTGGCGGGGGAGGACGACAACAGACGTAACAGCGCAACAACAGCTCTTTGCGTCGGCGGCTGGGCAGAGTGACTGCGCTGGCGATGAAGCGTTGGGGGGGGGGCTGGGTGTCGCGGGTCGGGCCGTTGTGCGGCGGGGGGGGGGTGGCGCTCGGCGGCGGCGGGGGGGAGGCGGGGGCCGGGCCCGCTCAGGGCGGGGCCAGGCGGCGGCGGAGGGGGGCGGCGCCGGGGGAAGGGCCCAGCAGCGGCGGCGGGGCGGCTGCTGGGGGGGAGGTAGGCCAGGCGGCGGCCAGAGGCGCAGCCTGCGGGGGAGCAGTGCCCAACGCAGGCTGGTGACGAAGGGGGAACGCGACCCGCGAGGCAGCCCGGGGGCGGCCAGTGCAGGACCACGCCTCGGGGAGAGGGGTCGGCCCGAGAGCCAGGCAGCGCGGGGCGGGCGGGGCGGCGAGGCCCGCCCAGCGGAGCGGCAGGCGGAGACGGCGGGAGGGCCGCGGTCCTGCATGGGGGCAAGGGCCGAGGGGGGCACCCAACAGGTGCACCGAGTGGACTCGGCTGGACGCAAGAGCGACCCTGGGTAAGAGTGGCCTTTGGTGCGCGGCTTTTGGGGGGCGCAAGGTGGGCAGATCCAAGTGCGCAAGCAGCCTCTATCGCATCGCGCTCAACGATCGGGGGGGCCCCCATGAGCCCGCACCAGAAGTCACTGCAGCGAAAGGCCACTCTTACGTGTAGTAGATGGACGAGGATCGAGCCGAGAGAGGCCGCGCAGAGAGCCCAGCATAGCTGTCCGGCGCAACAGTAGCAAGCAGGATCCGCGTCGCGGAGCCCCACTTCAGCCACGCACCCAGGGACAACGAATGACCCCTCGGCCCCCTCACTTTGACTACGCGGCACCACCTCGAAGCAGGCAAGACGGAATCCAGGGGGCTCCACATATAGCACCTCCGAAGACAGCACGACGCCCCACTGCGTGGCAAGTATACCGACACACGCACAGAACGCAATATCGCACGACGCCACCTTCGCGGACAACTGAATATCTTACCTTCGGGGCGCCACGCTCAACACCGCACGGCACGACATCGCTCGGCACAACCTCCGGTCATCAATTCGGCAGTCGGGGCACCGCGCTTCGCAACACACGCTGTACCACGAGGCACGGCACGGCTCGGCACCGCCTCTGTGTGTTCAAATCGATCGCACGGTACGGCACCAGACGGCATAGTACCGCGAGGCACCACCACTAGAACAATTCTTCCCAGTGGAGCCTCCCAGTGGAGACATTGAAAACATCTGAGTGGGAACTCGGGGAAAGGTGTTTGCAAAGTTTCACTGCGGCAGCAAATGACACGCGATCGGAGTGTGGTTCGATCCTGCAGAAACCATCTGTAAGTTCTTTCGAATATACATGGTTTTGTTTCGATGCTGTGCAGCATCAATGGAACTCAAGAGATCCTATGGATGCCCTTTTTCGCATCCTGTGACCTTCATCCTCGACCCTCGACTCTGCCCTACCCCTGAGCGTGAATCTATATTCTGACCCTGACTTTTGCCCCTGGCGCTAACGCCTGACCCCTGTCCCAGAACCTTGACCCCTCACCCAATGCTTCGCCCTGACTCAGTCCCCTTCCATTAACCCACGAGCCTGACCCCTGAAAGCCGCCCTTCGCCTGGGACAAAGACACCCGACTTGTGAGACTGATCTGAGATCCTGACTCCTGACATACCGCTCCCACTCTTATCCAATTACCGCTGACCCGTGCGCCTGATCTTGTTCGACGACCTGTGCTTTTGACCCGAATTCCCCTCCTGGATCCGTAGCCGTGATGCCTCTACCCCCGCCGCTTGATCTTGGCCCTCGACCCTGACCTGGACCCTGACCCTGCTCGACCATGACCCTCGCCCCTTACCCAACCAACTGTCCTGGGCCACGGATCCTGACCACGATGCATCGTCAAGCTCTCGAGTTCTCGGGCTTTGAATTTCGAACGGGCTCGCAGAGCTTTAATCTCAGAGCCCGCAACCAGCCAGTCGTGAGCCGGCTCCCGGGCCCACCCTTTCGGACGTGTTTGACCCCAGAGGTCGCAGCTCAGCAAAAGTCACGTGCAGCCTCTAGGAACCCCAGCTACAGAGACCTTCTGAATATGTGGCAAGTCTGGCTCAGTTCTTCCAGGGGGCTCGCCATCGCTCGGACGTCCATCCCTGTGTTTTTTTCGGTTTCGTGCGTGGTTTTTTCGCCAAATGATCAAGGATGCTCCTCCATGGTCCTCGCCGCGGAAATAGCGCACACGTCCGAGCGATGCCAAGGGGGAGCAACCAACATCGTGCCCCTGAACACCGCGAGCCGCGGCAGTGGCCCTGGGACCCCCACATGGAGGTCACCGTGTGGACCCCGCCGCGCTCCCACGAGGAACTCTGACAACGGAACGCTGTCACAAGCGACCTTGAAGCACAACGAACGGCCCTATAAAGAGTCGCCCCACGGCACAGGGCCCAAATCTCGGATACAAGGTCACCAACCACAACGCCGCGTGGCACCGTAGCTTTGCGCCGCACCGGACCGGACCACCCAATCGAACCTGCGCGCAAAACTGGCTCAACTCACTTGCTTTCCAGAATAGTACCTACTAGCGGCAAGTTCATTGTTATATTCGAAACGAGGTGAATATTCGAAGACGCTAACGCCAAACTGACTAACAAGACAATGCCCTGTCACATGCTACTGCTCTGCATTCATTTGTTGAGCGTTAGTGGTCTGGCATGTCCTGTCGTCCCAAGCTGTATTTCACGTTCACTCCCCCCCTTGCTCACGGCACAACACTTCCCTCTTGCCCAAAAAGAAAACTGGCTTATGAATGGAGGCGTGCCCCTAGGGTCGGAAAAAAGGGCATTCATTGAGCTTACAACAAGTGACCGAAACGAACGCTACACCCCCAAACTTTTTTGGAGTCCAGAACGGACGGTTCAACTACGGCCACGACAACACTTGACGGATTTGTGGCAAATCTGGTTAACATATATAAGCAAAATTGGTTTCGATTCTGTTTGAAATTGCCCAGGATCCGCTTTCCGTCCGCGTATATACGATTTCGTCATTTCCAGATCCATTCACCAAACCTGTTTTGACGCGGGTATGATTCGTACCCGGCCTGGCCATGGGCCACTCCAAAGCCCCATGGCACGCGATAGGATTTTATGGGGGAGCTGGGTGTTGTGTAGCCAACGTCAGTGCCAGAAACAAAAACATCACCATCGGCGACAACTGCGACGTCGACGACGTCGATGACGTCGCGGACGAATACGACGGCGACGCGTCGCAGTCGACGACGGCGACGACGCCGTAGCGGCCAACGAAAACTGCGTCAACCAATCATGGTTTGCTGCAGCGACTGGGTCACGACTTGGAAGACGTTCAAGGGTCTCTCGGGACTCCCTTGGGCCGTCCTGTGCCTCTTGTGAACCGTCCTTGGGCGATCTTAGACGTCTTTCGGACCGTCTTAGGCATTCTTTTACCCCAAAGCGCGACTGTGTATGTGTGTGCCAACGCTGAACACTAAATTCGTTTGGGAGCTTTCTGTGCCTTCGAGGCTTCTTGGGCGTTCTCTTGGGGCTCTTCTCGGTCGCCGTCGAGCGCCGCCTGTGAGACCATCTGATGCCATCGTGGCCGTAGTGGACGCGATCTGAGAACCGTCTGGGAGGCCGACAGGAGCAATCTGGGACCCATCCCGCGCCAGCTCCGTGGATGGGGTCGACTGGAAGGACCAGCCTTCTCTCGGAAACGAAGTGCCTCGCTGAGGTGTTCGGACGGTGGCCTCCCATGGGGGCTGGGCCGTCCGAGGCGGCCCTGGGTGGCTCCAATCTCGCCCAAGATTGCCTCCAAGATTGTGATTTCTCCTCCTCCTCCTCCTCCTCCTCCTCCTTCTCCCCCCCCTCCTCTTCCTCCTCCTCCTCCTCCTTCTCCTCCCCCTCCTCCCCCCCCTCCTCTTCCTCCTCCTCCTCCTCCTCCTCCTCCTCCTCCTCTTTCGCCTCCAAGATCTCGCCCAAGATTGCCTCCATGACGCTTTTTCCGTCGGCGGCGGGGCGGAGGTACACCGCGCCAGCAGCAAGCGATTCGGGGCAACCGAAGAGCGAAGCGGCCAGCATGCAGGAGGCGAGAAGGCGACGAACGGAGCGGCCGCAGAGGAAGGAGGGAGGCAGGGGGCGCTCAGAGGTGGAAGGCTTCCACATTGAGCGCGCTGGCGCCGCCGGCGACTGGAGCGGGGACCGTGGCAGCGGCCAAGCCGCGGCGTCGATGCATCCATGGGCGCTGCCGATGCCCCCACTGCGCGGAAAGCAGAGGTACGTGCAGCGAAGCCGTCCAGGTGTGGGCCGACGGGGTGCTGCAAGCGACGAGAGAGTAGTAGCAATGTAAGTTTCAGACAGCCAACAGCAACATGCTGGTGCCCGCTGGGTGTAGGGCGGGGGCTGCGACGAGGCGCAAGGCCCATGTCGGGAGCGGCCAAGAGGGGGATGTCCAAGAGGGGGGGTGCAAATCATGACTGGCGGCATGTGCGCGGCCCAGCGGGGGGACCAGGGACGTAATGAAATAAGAAAAGGCGCCATGAAATCTGAAGAAATACCATGGCCTCCGCCATGATATCCACCCCCCCTAGTCATCACCCCCCTCTTTGCCGCCCCCGACCATGGAGCACCGCAGCCAGGGGGAAGTGCATGCCGGGGCTGCAGCGACGGGGCGCCATGGCGGCGCGCGGGGGGAGGGAGGCGAGGGGGGAGGGGAAGGACTGGCAAGCGATCAGGGAGGGAGGGAAAAGGCGATGGGGGAGGGGAGGGGAGGAGGGAGGGAGGGGGGAAGGGGAGGGGCGATGGGGGAGGGAGGGGAGGGGGGAAAGGCGATGGGGGATGGGGAGGGAGGGAAAAGGCGATATGGGGGAGGGGGGGGGAGGGAAAAGGCGATGGGGGGGGGCGCCCCGCCTGATGGGGCACCCCCGCAGGCGGGGCGACGGCGCCTGGCGGCCCAGCGCCAGCGCTACTTCTGCCATGCTCTATATTTATACATCTGTTTTGGTGTGTACATATGTATATTTGTATTATATATATATATATCTATATATATATATGTATGTATTTGTATTTGTGTATATACACATGTACAAACGTATATCTATATTTGCATATGTGTGTTTATATGTATATCTGTATGTAATTGTATATGTGTACATGTGTTTATGTGTATATATATATATGTATGCATGTATGTATCTATGCACATAGCTATATACCCATGTCTAAAAAGTTGACATGCGATACGGTCGAAATGTGGCGACAAGAACGTGGGTCCAGAATGTGAGCCCCTTCAGCGAAGGTTGAATGCCTCACGGGGATACCCATATCGAAGAACACCCGAGGTGGAGATCACAATCACGACGAACGTAGAAAGGTGCCCTTCTAAAGCTCGCGCGGTTCTTGATCCTCGTGTCAGCTGTAGCCCAAGTTGGGCCTAGGTCGCTTCCGAAAATGCTTCATGGTGGCGATGAGATGACTCGCGGCGGCCAAGGAGCCTCGCAAGAATGTCTCCCACGAGGCCAAACTCATTGAACACGTCTTTTTTCAACCTGCTTGCCCCTTCGCCTCCTCGCTCCCGACTCGCACCTGAGGCCCCCAGGAGGACGCAGACATGCCACGGCCCCACAGGGCCCCACGAGAGCCTCCCAGGCGAGCCCCACGAGCGCCCCGACGAGGCTCCAAGGGATAACTCTTCGGGCTCGGGCCACCCTCCTCCTTGGCCGACGGCCTCCAGGATGACCCCACGAGGCCCCCTTGTCTAAGTGCTGTATCGGAGGGTGGCCCTGTGGGCCGCCGAGCGGACCAGATCTGACCCCAAGAGTGTTCCAAGACTTTTCGGCCGCTCGCCTGCGGAATCCTCTCTGGGCCCACAGCTCCTCTCCTCTGCTCTGCTCTGCTCTGCAGCTCAGCTCCGTGTCTTGCGCTTGCTTGCTTCGATTTGCTTTGGATTGCGCTGTAGTCCTCGCACTGCGTTGCTCTCTGGTCGGCATGGCTTCGCACTGTGCTGCCTCTGTTCTGCTTTGCTGTGCGCGGCTCCGCGTCGCACTGCCTTGCACTTCAATGCGCGTCTCGGCTCTACTCTGCGCTGTGCTGCTTTGCACTGCGCTTGAATCGCGCCGACGCGACGCGCATGGCTGGACACGGCTCCACGCAAGGCATCTCTTGGCACTCCAGAGGTCACAACTTGCACTTCGACCGCAGTTTTGGCTTCACTCAGACGGGAGCTGCAGACCTGCCGCTCTCGCCACGCGGCAGAAGGCGCAGGACGAGCTGGAGAAAGCCTACGCGCACCGACTCGCAGGGCTCGGAGGAGGCTTGGCCTCCTCGGCAAGGCTCGTCCACGCTTTCAGGTTCTGCTCGCACAGGCGCAGGCAGACGCACGTGAGCTTGCCGTCGCCGCTGCTGCTCCGCTTGCCCAGCCGCTCCAGGATGTCGGGCGCCTCTGAGGGGGCCCAGGGACGCTCAACTACATGCACACAAACAAAAGGATTCCCCTATATTTCCCAACATTTTCGGGGTTTTGGTCTTCCCCCCCCCACTTCCCATGTTTTCCTATATTTTCTGGGGAATCGACGATTACTCCAGATTTCGTAATAAAGGGAGGGGGGTCTCATTTCGGGGGGGGTCTTTTCCAAGCTATCTTGGAGGGCCTGGGGGGGTCTGGGGACGATGTTTTGGAGGGTTCTCCCACGGGGGGGTCTGAAATGGCTTGTCTTGGAGGGTCCAGACCCCCTCCCTTTTATTACGAAACCTGGAGTAATTGTGTCTGTGTGTTTTTTTCCCTCCTGAGCCTCCGCCACGTGGTGCGGGCCGGCCGTGGCCTGCGCCCGCGCGGGCAGCGTCAGGAACGGCCGCGAGGAGCGCTTCTCGGACTGCAGGCTGGACAGCGAGGACCGGCGAGACATCTTGCCTGCTCGGGGAGGAGGGGGAGGGGGGAGGGGGGGGAGGGGAGGAGGGAGGGGGAGGAGGAGGGGAGGAGGAGGAGGAGGAGGGGAGAGGAGAGGAGGGAGGAGGAGGAGGAGGAGGAGAGGAGAGGAGGAGGAGGAGGAGGAGGAGGATGAGTGAGGAGAGGAGAAGGAAGGGGAGGAGGGACAGAGTCCCCTTTGGCAGAACGTGGCTCAGAGAAGTCGGCCTCGGGCCCGAGCCCCGCGGGCGCAGGCCTGGAACACGACGGCCGCGGCGCCCTCTCGAGAGCCGGACACGGACACTTCACCGATCGACGTGTGAGGGTGGGGGCTCTGTCCGCTGCCCGATGCCTGCGCTCTCGGAGGGCAGGCTGGACACGCGCCCCATCTGCATCAGCTCAAGCGGGCTCGCCTTGGGTTAGGTCGGGCATGTCCCCCTTACAGGCGGACTCTGGAAGAAACGTGGAACATAATCCACACATAGCCCCGAATGGTCGAGCATAGTAAACAAATCGTCCCCAGACTACTTCTGTAAAAAAACAAGACATAACATTTTCGCCCTGTAGAGAGAGGGACATGCCCGACTTACGCCTTGGGGTCGAACGGCGCGGCGGAGGTGATCGGCGAAGGGCGCCGCCGCCTCGGAGAGGCCCCGGGCGAGCACGGCCCGGGCTGCGGCGAGTGGCACATGGCGGTCTGCGATCTGCTCAGGATGCGGTCCGTGCCCTGCGACCCCCTGGTGGTCAGCCGCAGGCTGCTCCTGCTGGGCGTCGCTCACAGGGGGGGCGCCGACGCAGGAGGAGGAGGAGGAGGAGGAGGAGGAGGAGGAGGAGGAGGAGGAGGAGGAGGAGGAGGAGGAGGAGGGGGATGCAAGGTGCACGTTTCGGGGCCTCAGAGGCTCCCTCTCGGGCCCCCGAGGGCCCTTTCTAAGGGGCCCTGGACGGGCCCCTGCTCTGCAGCCCTCGCTGCCCCCCCCGGGAGCGCCACCTTGTTCCGGGACGCCCCGCTCCTGCGCGGCGCGTGCGTCTCCGGAGACCGGGCTGCCTCCTTCGCCAGGTAGCACACGATTTCCTCGAAGCGGGCGAGCTCCTTCCAGGTCGGCACGCAGATGAATTGCAAGAAGCCCACCTGGCTGCTGGCGAGCACGAAGCCCTCTCGGTCGCATAGCGGCGACACGGCGAGCCCGAGCCGCTTCTCCTCGTCGCCCTGATCGTGGAACTCTTGGGCGACCCGCTTGGACCACTCCTGGTGTATGTTCCAATCCTTTGCCGAGTGGCTGATGTCCGCCGACCGGAACAGCATGCACATGGCCTGCTCCTGGTCGCCCTTGTACGCGGAAGGTATCTGTACACCACCAGCATGCCTTGCCAGAACCATCCTGGGCCCTGGTGCATACGCCTCCTTGCCGATCTGACCGTGTCCAGGAGGGTCTACAAACGATCCTAGGGCACAGGGAGGCTCAGGCAAGGCATGGTGGTGGTGGCGTAGAAATGCCTTCTGCGAGCCTTGTTGCAACCAGGAACATGGGACATGGGGTTGTAGTCCTCGGCGCCGAGTCGGACGCGGAACGCCGAGAGGTCCTCCAAATGCTTGGCGGGATCTGTGTGCAAGATCAAAAGAATAATTAGATGCCGCATCCTCGGGAGTCGCTCAATCGGTTGCTGACTCAAGAGCTTCTCCGGGAGGTCGCTCCCGCTGCCATAGCACTGGTCGAGCATTTGGATCAACGTGGATGCGTGGAAATTTTCTAACACGCTCTTATCGTTGTAAGTCACCGCCAAAGCATGCCGGGTCGAGGTCAAAAACACATTGTTGCGTCCGAAGTGGCCGACGTCATGCCCGAGGGCTGCAATCAAGGAGGTCAGCTGGATCCAGTCTGATACCTCCCCATCCTCCCACAGCCTGCTCCTGGTCGCCAAGAAATAAAAGGAATTGCACATGTCCGCCGCATGGACGTACGAATGGTAAGGGTGCTCCTTCCCGTACGCTTTCTCCAGTGTGCTGAGGAAGGCTGTCAGGGCTCCCGGAGGCAGCGACGCATACGTGTGCAGCAGCTCGAAGCCCACGAGCTGCATGACCGTGTGCCCGCTGCTCTCCACCTCGAGGGCGTCGAAGGACCAGTCGCCGACGAGCAGCTCCGTGCGAGCGCCCGCGACCCTCTGCAGGGTGCGCTGCGGCCGCTGGATGATCGAATCCATGCTCAGGCTCTCGATCCCCATGGACTGCGCGGCGCCGTCCGGATCCCATGCCTGCTGCAGCCACCCGGACAGCACCTGCACGTCCGAGCCGCTCCCCCCCTCCTCCTTCACCGCGCGCAGCAGCTGGCTGTTCACGTCCCGGGAGGTCTCCTGCCGGTTGTGCAGCTGCGCCCGGCACTGCCTCAGCGCCTCCGCCAGGTGGTCCGCGAAGCCCGCCCACAGCTGGGGGCCGCTCCCGGCGCCGCCGGCGTCCACGTGTGGCTCCAGGTCCTCCAGCAGCTTCCGGCAGCGCCTCTCCCAGGAGTCGATGCTGTGCGTGACGCGCTCCTTTTTTTTTTTTTTTTTTTTTTTTTTTTTTTTTTTTTTCTCCTCCCCTCAAAATGAAATCGCCGGAAGGAGTTCGCTCGCATGCTTTGCCAGCCGTTGCGCCGCACAGGAACCCCTCCGTGCCAAAAAACTGGGCCAGGCGGCGAGGAGGACACAGAGGAGGGCAACGTGAGACAACGGCCGTGAGACAACGGTGGCCAAATCGGCTCGGTCCCCGGACCCCACCCGGGGTCCAAACGCACCGATTTTTCACGCTGCGTCCAGCCGTGGCGCCGAGGAGGCCCCTCGGAGGCGAAAAAGGCAAAAACGTCACACTTGTTTCACCCTGCCCTCCTCTGAAATGAGGAAAAAGAGGAGGGTGCGTGACGCGCTCCTTGGCAGTCTCATTGCTGACGCTGGCGTTCGCGTCCTCCGCCACCGCGGAGAGGTACTGCTCCACCAGCCGCTCCACGGTGCCCTCCCGGGCAGGGGGGCGGCACCCGGCCGCCAGCAGCAGCGCCAGGGCCGAGAGCTGCAGGCAGGCGGCCCAGAGGGGGGGCAGGCCCAGCAGCAGCCCGTGGATGCGCCCCGTGCCGGCGCCGGCGCACTCCTCAGAAGGCGCCCCAGGACACGTGGAGAAATGCACGCGACTCCCAGGATCACCCGTGTTCTTCGATGCCTGCCCTTTGGAGCTTCACCCTCCCTCCCCCGCTTCCCAGCTTTGCCCGTGCTATTTTCCGGGGAATCGACGATGACTTGTGTTCTGTCGGGTGTCCCCCTGCAGGCGGCGGATTATGGAGGAAAAATCAAGAATAGTCAGAAAATACTCCCAAGGTGCCCAAAGACAATAAAACAAATGGTCCCCAGGCTTATATATATATATATATGTACATATATACATAAATACACATATATATATGTATACTAGAACCACGCGCGCGCTTCGCGCGCGCTTGGGTTCTAGTTTGCTCCGAAAACGGTGTTCGCAAGCACGGGTCCGATTCCGTGGCGATTCGCGGGAAATCTACGTCCAAAAATGACGTGTTGCCAGAGGCAGGTCCGCGGATGCTTTAATGCAACGTGTCCAGTGTATCCAACGATTGCATACTTGTTACATATGCTACATATTGTATTGTACTGCAATATTATGCCCCCCCCCCTTGGAGCCGCGCCACATCGTCGGACCAAATCTGGAGGGCCTCATTCTAGGCCTCAAAACATAGAAAGACCTATGGAAAATCAACAATTTCGGCCTCTTGGGCCTCTTGGGACTCCAAGAGGGCCTCAAGATGGCCGACGATGGCCCCAAGACAGCCCAAGACGGCCTCAAGACGGCCCAAAATGGCCCCAAGAGGGCCCATGAGGCTCCCAAGAAGATCCACGAGAGCACTCAAACCCGAACAATCTTTCCATGACACCCTCACCCTTAGACCCGAACCTTGAGACCGAAGACCCGAGCCCAGAAATCGAACCCGAACGCCTCAACATCTCAAATGAAGAGGCTCATCCCCGCTCCACCGTTTCCTCCTTCCTTCTGAATCCTTCCTTCTTCCACTTGCTCAAACTCCTCCTCCTCCTCCTCCTCCTCCTCCTCCTCCTCCTCATCGCCCTCCTCCTCCCTCTCCTCCTCCTCCTCCTCCTCCTCCTCCTCCTCCTCCTCCTTCTCCTCCTTCTCCCCCTCCTCCTCCTCTCCTCCTCCTCCTCCTTCTCCGCCTCCTCCTCCTTCCTCCTCCTCCCTCCTCCCTTCCTCCTCCTCCTCCCTCCTCCTCCTCCTCCTCCTCCTCCTCCTCCTCCTCCTCCTCTTCCTCCTCCCTCCTCCTCCTCTTCCTCCTCCTCTCTCCCCGTCCTCCCCCTCCCTCCTGCTCCTCATCCCTCCTCCTCCCACCGTCCCGGCAGACTCCATGCATTGACGTTCGTGCGAGGCCTCATTCCCAAGCTTGTCTTGGGGCGCCCTTGGGCGCCTCTTGGGGCTTTTGGAATAAGTTGGATACGTGGTACGAAAGGAATGGAGTAAGTTTTGGCTCCCGGGGCCCTTTTGGAAGGCCTCTTGGAGCCTTCTTGGGGCGTCTTGACGGCCTCGTGGCCCTTCTGGAGGCCATGTTGGGCCGTATCGGAGCGCTCCGGGGGCCCTCTCGGGGCGACCGGGAAGTCTCTTGGGCCATCTTGGGCGGACTGGGAGGCCCGGGGGCCGCCCGAGGAGCGTCCCAGGAAGCCCTCCTAGGCCCTCTTAGCGCTGTCCTCAGGCGTCCTGGGGCGTCCTTGGGCGCCTCCTGGGGCTGTCTGACAACTCGGACAGCCAAGGGATGAGATATCCTAAAAATGTACGTTTTACGAAGGGAATGGGGCCATTTTGGTTTCCCGGGGCGCTCTTGGGGGGCCTCTTGGAGGCCTCTTGGGGCGGTTTGATGGCCTCTTGTCCCTTCTGGAAGCGATCTTTGGCGGTCTTGAAGCGATCCTGGGCTTCTCTCGGCGCTCTTGGAGCCTTCTTTGGCGGACTGGGAGGCCCGGGGGCCGCCCGAGGAGCGTCCCGGGAGGCCTTCCTGGGCTGTCTTCGGGCTATCCTAGGGCGCCTCGTGGGGCTTTCGGACCGCTCCGACAGCCAAGGGAGCTGATATCCTAAAAATGTACGTTTTACGAAGGGAATGGGGCCATTTTGGTCTCCCGGGGCGCTCTTGGGGGGCCTCTTGGAGGCCTCTTGGGGCGGTTTGATGGCCTCTTGGCCCTTCTGGAAGCGATCTTTTGCGGTCTTGAAGCGATCCTGGGGTTCTCTCGGCGCTCTTGGAGCCTTCTTGGGCGGACTGGGCAGCCCGGGGGCCGCCGGAGGAGCGTCCCGGGAGGCCCTCCTGGGCCGTCTTGGGGCTGTCCTCAGTCGTCCTGGAGCGTCCTTGGGCGCCTCGTGGGGCTTTCTGGCCGCTCCGACAGCTAAGGGAGCTGATATCGTAAAAATGTACGTTTTACGAAGGGAATGGGGCTATTTTGGTCTCCCGGGGCGCTCGTGGGGGGCCTCTTGAAGGCCTCTTGGGGCGGTTTGAGCGCCTCTTGACCCTTCTGGAAGCGATCTTTGGCGGTCTTGAAGCGATCCTGGGGTTCTCTCGGCGCTCCTGGAGCCCTCTTGGGCGGGCTGGAACGCGCGGGGGCCGCCGGAAGGGCGCCCCGGGAGAGGGCCGCACCCTATATACAAGGGGGGTTCCGGCCCGGGGCCCGGGGCCCGGGATCTCCCATATATGTATAAAACTTGTTTTTGAATTTTCCTCCTGTAGAGGGACAGGCCCGACTTAATTGTTTTTTCTCCGCTCCCGACATTTTGGAGCTTCACCTTCGACTTCCCATCTTCTCCCGCCGTACTATTCCCATGGGAATCGACGATGACTTGTATTATGTCGGGCGTGTCCCCTCTACAAACGGATTCTGTAGGACAAATGAAAAATAGTCAAACCAACCAAGTACCCTAAAAACAATGAAACATTATCCCCATATTATTATTACTGTTCTTACTGTTATTATTCTTATTATTCTTCTTATTCTTATTATTCCCATTCATATTCATATCATTATTCTTACTCTTCTTCTTCTTCTTCTTCTTCTTCTTCTTCTTCTTCTTCTTATATGATGATGATGCTGCTGCTGATGATGATGATGGTTATTCTTATTATTACTATTATTACTATTCTTATTCTTACTATGATTATTATTTCCACCATTCTTATCATTATTATGATGCTTATTCGTATTATTATTATTATTATTCTTCTTCTTCTTATTATTATTTATTATTATTATTAGTATTATTATTATTATCGTTATTATTATGATTATTATTACTACTATTATTATCATATACGAATATTAAGAATATTCCTCCTGTGGAGGGACAGGCCCGACTTAATACTTGTGTCTGTGCTTTTTTTCTCCTCCCCTCCACTTCACCTTCCCGCCACCACTTGTGTCTGCGTGTTCTTAGATACCTTTTGGAGCTTCACCTTCCCCCCTCCCCACTTCCCATCTCGTCCCCGTCCTAATTCCCGGGGGATCGACGCCTACTTGTGCCTGTGTGCTTTCCTCCCTCCCCTCCAGACATCCGACGTCTCGGTTTTTTCGAGACACGGGCCCCCGACCTCCCGACCACTTCCCCGGGACCGGTTTTTCGTCCCGAGTCGTTTTCTGACGGTCCCGAGGCCCGTCGAAAGCCCCGAGAGGCCGAAAACGACGGAAAACCTCCGTCTCGTTTTTTTCCGAGACGCCCGATGTCTGGGCTTGCCCGATGTCTGGGCTTGCCCGGACCTCTCCTGGGGCTCGTTCTGACACGGATTTCGAGGCGAATCCAGCGGTGGCGACGACGGAGGCCCAGGAGGCCCCCATGAAGAAGGAAGAACGAGGGGAGGGTAGAGGTATATGGGTACCTTTTTTCCTCCTCGGACTGGTCCTCCCTCCCCCCCCGATCCTCGGACTGCAGGGCCACGCCCACGAGCAGGTGCTGCAGGCTCACGCCCTGCCCCAGCGCGGCGAAGGCCCACCACCGGGCGCGCCGGGCCTCCGGCGGCCCCGCGCACAGCGCCGGCGAGGCCGCGCCGAGCACGAGGGCCAGCCTCGGGCAGAGCGCGCACGCTCGGCTGCACGCAATGAGGGGCCCGGAGCTCCGGTCGGGCCCGTCCCCCTACAGGCCCGAGGAGGAGGAGGAGGAGGAGGAGGAGGAGGAGGAGGAGGAGCAGGAGGAGGACATGTACAAAACAACAGGTTTGTGCCTCGAGGCCCCTGGGCAAAGCGCACGCTCGGCTGCACGCAATGAGGGGCCCGGGGCTCCGGTCGGGCCCGTCCCCCTACAGGCCCACATGTACAAAGCAACAGGCTTGTTAGGGGGCCACGTGCGAACCCTGCCCCTGCCCCCCACGATTTCTGAGGGGGAGGGTGGGTTTCACTTTGCTCGGGATCTCCCGCACGAAGTGAACCCCACCCTCCCCCTCAGAAATCGTGGGTGGTAGGGGTAGGGTTCGCATCTGGCCCCCTACAGGCCCACATCCAACATGTTTTTCGCTCTTTCGCGTTTTCTCCAATCTGTTTTTTCGCTTTTTCGCGTTTTCTCCAACCTGTTCTGTCGCTTTTTCGCGTTCTCCAACATGTTTTTTCGCTTGGTCGCTACAGTCGGGGCGTTGACCTAAGGAACCCTTAATGAGGAACGAGGCCCCTATTTTCCATAAGTTGAACTTCGATTTCCGATCGAAAACCTAAGGAAAATCCAAGGCAAGCTGCGAAACACTTAAGGAACACGGAGCCCCTCCCCAGCGAAAAGGGTTCCTTCTTCAGCGCCCCGACTGTACAGGCCCACATGTACAAAACAACAGGTTTGTGCCTCGAGGCCCCTGGGAAACAGTTTTTGACCTGCGGGGCGAGAACGAACCTCGTCCGCTGAAAGCTAGGCGGGCTACGCACAGCTTTCATTAGGGAGACAGGGCGCAGGAAGGCGGGGCCTCAGGCGGCCGGAGCGGGCGGGGCCCAGGGAACAGGCGGTGCCGGGCGGGCCCCTACAGGCCCACATGTACAAAACAACAGGTTTGTGCCTCGAGGCCCCTGGGAAACAAGAGACAACAAGCGATTTGCCTTTGCATTTTGAGGGGGACCTCATCTCGGCACACCCCTCACGCGCTTCGTCAGCTGGCCTCCGAAACGGCTCCTTGGAACCTCGACCCTGGATCCCTGAGTTTTGGTTGTTTTCTCCGACATGTTTTGCGCTCTTTCGCGTTCTCGAGCTTCCAATCAATGCGCGAAAACGGCCGCGGACGCCCCCAAGACTGCCCCGGGACCGCCGAAAAGGTGCCCCAAAGAGGCGGTGTTCGGGCGAAAGATTGAAAATGCTAATGAAATACCCCGAAGTGGTCAGAGAATAAGCAGGGACTCGTCCCCAGACTATTTTTGGGCTATATTTTTGAATGTTCCTCAGGTAGAGGGACATGCCCGACTTAACTGAAGGGGAACTGGGACACACAAATAAATACACACAAATGAAAATATCCCCCATACTTTCCCATATTTTCTGGGTTTTTGTCTCCCCCCCCCGCTTCCCATATTTTCCCATATTTTCTGGGAATCGTCGATTAATTGTGTCTGTGTGTTTTTTCCCCTCCTGATTAACCCTAGGCAAGAGTGACCCTTCGTCAGAGGGCAGGCCTCGGGAAAACGCACGCTCGGCCGCACGCAGGAGTGACCATCGGGCAGGCCCCCCCACGTCGGGCGCCTCGAAGAAGTCGCGAGCCGGAGGCGTTTCGCCGTTTTCGGCCTCTCGGGGCCCTCGCCGGGCCTCGGGACCGTCGGTTGGCGGCGCGCAGAAGGAGGTGGGGGGAGGGGGGAGGGCTTCTTAGAAGGAGGCTGCTTCTTAGAAGACGCCTTCCTGACATCTACAGATAAGGCCCGCGCCTTCTAAGAAGCAGGGCTGCTTCTAAGAAGCCCTCCCCCCTCCCCCCACCCCCCTCTGCGCGTGGCTGAGTCGGAAAACGACCCGGGATGAAAAGCCGGTTCCAGGGAAGTGGTCGGGAGGTCGGGGGCCCGCGTCTCGAAAAAGTCGAGACGTCGGATGTCTGGGAGAGTGACCTGTGGTTAGAGGCCTCCTAGATGGGGTTCGAGTAGATGGGGTCGAAGGATCGCGCCGCATCGCCAATGCGTCGCCGATGTGTCGCCGAGGCGATGCGTCGGCGATGCATCGGCGACTTCGGCGATGCATCAGCGGCGTCGGCGTGGGAAAACACGGGCTCCACATCGAGACGCATTGGCGATGCATCTGCGATGCGGCGCGATCCTCCGACCCCATTTTCTCGGACCCTACCTAGGAGGCTGAGATTAGTGCGCGGCCAAGGAGTTGCCCTTTGGGGACACCAGAAGACGCGCAGGCTACTGATATCGCATGGCGTTCAACGATCGGGAGGCCCCATGGGGTCCGCGCCAGAGGTCACTCCGGCGCAAGGTCACTCTTATAAGTGTAGTCTTAAGTCGGGCCTGTCCCCCTACAGGGGGATTTTCGACGAAAAATAAAAAATACCCCCCAAATAATCCAAACATAGTCCACAAATAGTCAGGGGACTATTTTTTGAATATTTTTTGCCTCATTTTTGGAATATTTGATGGGTTATTTTTGATTTTTCGTCGAAAATCCCCATGTAGGGGGACACGCCCGACTTAAGTGTAGTCGAACGCTGACATAAGCATGCAATTTCGCCGGCCCGCGCGGATCTCTCAGATCGGCCCCCCCCTGGCGGCGCCTCGGGTGCCGAGGGGGGCCGCCCGAGGCGCCGCCAGGGGCCCCCAGCGCAGATCCGAGAAACCCGCGCGGACCACGGAAAGGTTACACGTCGTTCATTTCGGATCGTGCTCATTTCTAATTGTGCTCGTCTCTCATTGTTCCTGGCCCCCTAGTGGCCAGGAAGAGGCCCAGGATAGAACAATTCGAAATGAAAGGATCATGGCCCCCCAGAGAATCAAAGAACTCTTGAATAATTAGAAATGAACAACGTGCATGTCTACATCACCGCTTGCTCCCCTGCATCCACAGCGCCGCCGGGCCCTCGTCGCACACGTCGCCTGCGGCGGGGCCGCTCCTGCCGAGCACCCGCCTGCGCCGTGCGGGCGACCCCAGGCTGATCGTCAAGGCGGCCAGCCAGGCGGCGATCAGGGCCGCCGGCGCCTGCGACTGGGGCCCGGCCACGCCTGCGCAGCGCGCGGCCAGGTAGCCGACCACCAGCGCGGCCAACACCGCGTCCTTCACGTGGAAGGCTGGGTGCTCCAGCCCCTCGATCGGGGAACAAACAACGACACAAGCATAACCTGTCGGAGGTTCGCGCGGACTCGTCGGATCGGCGCTGGGGCCCCCATGGCGCCGGAAAGACACTGGCGCGACCAGGAAAGCTGCAGCCCTGGGTCGAGCTGGACCTGACAGAGTCCTGCACTGCAGTGTCCTGGTTTCTGAAGGGGCCCCAGAACACACAAATAGATACACACAAATCAAAATATTCCCCATCTTTCCCTATATTTTCTGGGTTTTTGTCTTCCCGCCCAATTCCTATATTTTCCCACATTTTCTGGGAATCGAAGATGAATTGTGTCTGTGTGTTTTTTCCCCTCCTGGTTTCTGGGGCCCTGACACTTGGCGGCGAGCCCATGGGGGCAAGGCAGAGGGCCCGGGCTCCTCGGAATTCTCAACCAGGCCCTCCGAGAAGCTGTCCAAGCCGTCTCGGAAGACACTCTTTTTGGTCGGCGGAATAAGGAGGAGGAGGAGGAAGAGGAGGAGGAGGAGGAGGAGGAGGAGGAGGAGGAGGAGTATGAGTATGGGAGGAGGATGACGAGGAGGAGGGAGCGGGCCCCTTTCTGGTCAAGATCTGGGGCGGGGCCGCGCGAAGGCCCCTCATTGGGGAGACAGGGCGCGGGCGGCGGGGTCTCGTGGCGGATCTCCGAAGAACACGGACGGCCTCCGCAGAAGGGCGCGAGGGCCTCCCCAGCGGCCCCCGCCGCCCTCGGAGGAGGGCCTGCCCTTCCCCCTCCTCCTCCTCCTCCTCCTCCTCCTCATCCTTCCTCCTCCTCCTCTCCTCCTCCCAAGCTCCTCCTGCCTCCTCCTCCTCCTCCTCCTCCTCCTCCCCCTCCTCCGCCTCCATCCTCCTCTCCTCCTCCTCCTCCTCCTCACTCCTCCTCCTCCTCCTCCTCCTCCTCCTCCCCCTCCTCCGCCGACTCCTCCTTCCTCTCTCCTATCCTAATTCCTTATTAGAATATACTCCTACTCCCCCCTCAGGCCGGCCGATATGGGCCGCATCCGGGTGGTCCCATCCTAACCTGTAAAAAACAATACAAAATCAACATTTTTCTTATTTTTTCCTCTCGACATGGACGTCCTGTCGTCCACGGCGATAATCCATTGCAAAAAATACCACAAAGAGCACACGCGCGCGTTCATGTCAGAATCCTACCGAACACCGTGTGTTTGCAAGCATTTCAACATAAAAACATCAAAAACCAAATGCTTTTTCACAAAAATTGTACAAATTTCCCGCCCGGGCTCTCTTGCTGAAATCATAGGAAAACCATAGGAATCTTAAGAATTCGGTCAAATCCAGCGATTTCACGTCATCGCGCGGTGCACTCGCGATGCTCTGTCATGCACCCAGGCCGCGAATCCTGTGCAAAAAATACCACGCGGGCGACATGCGCGCGCGTCGCCGCGAGCGCATGCTCAAATCCTTCTAGAGTCGTCGCCGTCATTGGCACCGTCGCATGGACGTCCTGTCGTCCAGAGCCGGGCTTCCTCCGGCCACCTCTGGCTTCCTGCGGTGTACCGGGCCATTCTCGACTCGTCTGGCAATGCGTGCGCGGCATTCAACACGCGCTCGCCAGTTCCCGTCGGCAACCGCCATCGCGGCCGCATCAGCTGTACCAAACCGGCTGGCCGGTGTGACTTCGGCCCCCAGTTGTGCCAGCTTTGCTTCTTATGTTGTGGGAGGGCGGGTGGGACTGGGCATGCCATGCTTGACTCGCTCGAGCTGGCTAGCTTGACTCCTACTCCTACTCCTATCCTTATTCCTTATTAGAATATACTCCTACTCCCCCCTCAGGCCGGCCATTAGGGGCCGCATCCGGGGGGTCCCATCCTAACCTGTAAAAAACAATACAAAATCAACATTTTTCTTATTTTTTCCTCTCGACATGGACGTCCTGTCGTCCACGGCGATAATCCATTGCAAAAAATACCACAAAGAGCACACGCGCGCGTTCATGTCAGAATCCTACCGAACACCGTGTGTTTGCAAGCATTTCAACATAAAAACATCAAAAACCCAATGCTTTTCCACAAAAATTGTACAAATTTCCCGCCCGGGCTCTCTTGCTGAAATCATAGGAAAACCATAGGAATCTTAAGAATTCGGTCAAATCCAGCGATTTCACGTCATCGCGCGGTGCACTCGCGATGCTCTGTCATGCACCCAGGCCGCGAATCCTGTGCAAAAAATACCACAAAGAGCACACTCGCGCGTTCATGTCAGAATCCTACCGAACACCGTGTGTTTGCAAGCATTTCAACATAAAAACATCAAAAACCCAATGCTTTTTCACAAAAATGCTTTGGGGTGTCCTGTCAGACCGTCGGGCTTCCTCCGGCCACCTCTGGCTTCCTGCGGTGTACCGGGCCATTCTCGACTCGTCTGGCAATGCGTGCGCGGCATTCAACACGCGCTCGCCAGTTCCCGTCGGCAACCGCCATCGCGGCCGCATCAGCTGTACCAAACCGGCTGGCCGGTGTGACTTCGGCCCCCAGTTGTGCCAGCTTTGCTTCTTATGTTGTGGGAGGGCGGGTGGGACTGGGCATGCCATGCTTGACTCGCTCGAGCTGGCTAGCTTGACTCCTACTCCTACTCCTACTCCTACTCCTACTCCTACTCCTACTCCTACTCCTACTCCTACTCCTACTCCTACTACTACTACTACTACGACTACTACTACTACTACGACGACTACGACTACTACGACACTACGACTACGACTACGACTACGACTACGACTACGACGACTACGACTACGACTACGACTACGACTACGACTACTACTACTACTACTACTACTACTACTACTACTACTACTAGTACTACTACTACTACTAACTACGACTACGACTACGACTACGACTACGACTACGACTACGACTACTACTACTACTACTACTACTACTACTACTACTACTACTACTACTACTACTACTACTACTGCTACTACTACGAGGAGGAAGGCCTCCGAGAGGCCCCGGCCGGGTCCGGAGATCTCCAGAGGCCCAATGGGGGTCCAGAAGGGGCAGGAACCTCGAGCCTCGAGCCTCGAACACCGATCCTGGGTCTGGATCCCCGCGGCCTGGTGGGGGGGGGGGCGTCTGGCGCCCTCGTCCGTGCAAGCGCAGCCCCCCTCCGACGCACGCGGTCGGTAAAGGCGAAAAGGTGGAGGAAGGCAGGGCGGCCGCTAGGGGTAAAGCGGGAGGATGGATGGCAGAGAGGACGAGGATGAGAAGGAGGGGGGGGAGGAGAAAGAGGAGGAGGAGGAGGAGGAGGAGGAGGAGGAGGAGAAAGAGGAGGACGAGGAGGAGGAGACGAACGTGGAGGAGGAGTATGATGATGATGCTGATGATGCTGATGATGATGATGCTGATGATGACGATGATGATGATGATGAGGAGGAGGAGGAGGAGGAGGAGGAGGAGGAGGATTGAGTTTGCCAAAAGAGGGGAGAGCTCCAGGGCCCCAACCTATGCAATCGCAACAAAAACTGGCGGCTCAACTACAACGAATCACAGGAGATGTACTACTCTATGAATAGCGAGTGCAGCTCAAGGCAATACGAAGTCAAAACCACACAAAGTCAGAGACACTACCGTGCGTTGAAAGATGCGTCTAGGAAAATATAATCTGAAACAAAAAACGCCCGACGAGGGGGAGGACGACAAGAAGGAGGCAAAGACCATCGAGATAGGGCGAACCACCCTGCGAGAGACCAGGGCGACAAGCAGCTCACGGGGTTACTCAGGCCGTCGTCGCAGCCCGCACGGTACCCTCGTCGAGCTGTGTCTGGTACAGCAGCTCGTTCAAGTCGAAGAAGCGAGCCCCAAGGAGAACCCGAAGCTCGTGCAGCCCAGTCAACTCCGCAGCAGGCCTGGCATTACGAATCACCACCGGCTCGCACATCACACTGGTGGTCACCTCGTAGGCAAACGCGTGGCTCGGCATGAACAGATTGCGCTCGATATCCTGGCTTTGCCATACACTGTCTGCACCAACGCTACGATTGCAGCGCCTTTCGCGCAATGAACGCACAGAGTCGTAGATGAAGGCCCCAGTGGGACTACTCACCTTTTTCTGGATAGCGGAGTCGTGGTGCTCGCACTGCATGGTCGGAGGCTCCTCCTCGGAGTAGAAGTCGAAATGCCCTGTGCATTTTCGGGATTTTGGTGGTAGTCGGCGTAGCAGCAGGCGCTATGCCAATGCAAGCAAGTGCGCTTTCGAACTTCAAGATCCGGTCGTGCATCGCTTGCAGCTCCGCGCTGGTGTCGTCCGGCACCCCAGACTGCGTGCTAGAATGACGGTCGGGCTTCACGTTTGTGGTCTCCGCCTGGCTGGCCGTCGGTAGCCGTCGGCGTCGCGATCTCGGAGAATACATTCTCTGTCGCCCCAATGGACCCATGCGGAAATACTGCTCACGTTGGCCACGCTGTCTGTCTTTCCCGCAAGCTGAAAGCGCAAGACCCATCCCGAGCTCCTCGTCCAGCTGGCGAGGAAGGACTTGCGCGAACTCATAGCCACGATGTCGAATGGCAGTCCAGGTAAAAAACAGTTTTTGAATTGGGTTGCCAAACTGCGAGAAGTCAGATGACAGGCGCCAAACATGCCCTCGCGGCTGATGTAGCTTGGCCTGCGAGGACAAGTTAAGGGAGGCTGAAGTGCAGAAGAGGAGCAGTTAGCGACGATGCAGAATGCAAGATTACAAATGTGGGAGTGGTGGCTACGGGTCGGAGACAGAAAAAACGGGGACTGTGGAGGCGACGGAGCCTTGAGCCAAATGGCTTGAGCCAATATTCTCCAAATAGGCTTGCCCTATAGGAGTCCTAGCTCAAACCCTACTAATTGGTCCGTTGTCCCCCCTAATTCCTCTATTCCTGTGCCCCCCCTAATTCCTATTGCTATGCCAGCCTATGCCTATGCCTCCCCCTAACTCCTATGCCCACGCCTATGCCTATTCCTGCTTGCTTGCGCGCTTGCACGCGTGCTTGCTTGCTTGCTTGCTTGCTTGCTTGCTTGCTTGCTTGCTTGCTTGCGCGCTTGCTTGCACGTTTGCTTGCTTGCTGAGTTGCGTATTCCAAGCATGCTTGATTCCTCTGATTCCTTGATTTGAGTCGTCTACTCTATTTGGAGTCAACGCGGGCTGATGCTTTGTTTTTTTTTGTACCTCGCAATTTTGGGAGGAGAAGGAGGAGACCTGAGAGAACTGAAGCGCGACGAACCTCTGCAATGCCGAATGTGAAAACCAACAATGGCCCCTGACTCGGGACAATGATAGAGGGGGGGAAGAGGAAGAGGATGAGGAGGAGGATGAGAAGGAGGAGGAGGAGGAGGAGGAGGAGGAGAAGGGGAGAGAGGAGGATGAGGAGAAGGATGAGGAGGAAGGGACGGAGGAGGAGGAGGATAGGAGTGGAGAGGAGGAGGGAGGAGGAGTAAGAAGGTATGATAATGATGATGAGGCAGAAAGGAGGTTGTATGGAGGGAGGGAGTGAGGGAGGCAGGAAGAGCAGGATGAGGAGGATGAGGAAGGAGGGATGACGAAGAAAGGAGGAGAGAGGGAAGAGGGAGGGCGGGCGGGAGGATGAATTGGAGAGAGGGGGGAAGGGTGAGGAAGGAGGAGGGAGGATATATAGGAGAAGAGAGGATGATGATGACGATGATGATGACGACGATGACGAGGAGGAGGAGGACGAGGAGCAGGATGAGGAGGAGGAGGAGTAGGAAGGGTGGTGGTGGTCACTGCACAAGAGAAACAAGTCCCGAGCAGAGCAACATGCATCACGACCACGACGACGCCGACGACGGAGACGAGCCGCGCTAGCGACCTGCACCGAAGTAGGGATTTGGGAAACGGCCCATCCTGTGATGTTTGGTACACAGTGCATCGTTGACCGGTGCACTGGCCATCCCCCGAGCACAGCTCCCCCCCCTCCCCTGGAGCAGCAGCCAGACATCTCGGGTTTGCACTCTCATGCCTTGCTGAGCCCAGGGGCGCGTTTCAGCACCCTATCACCCAACCTCGCCAGAGGAGGAGGGATGAGGAGGGATGATGGAGGATGAGCAAGGAGGGAGGGAGAAGGGAGTGAGCGAGGACGAGGTGAGAGAGAAAGACGTGGAGTAGGAAAAGGCCTCCGCGTGGCTGGCGAGGATCACGAGAGCGACAGAGGTGGTCACCACCAGGACGAGGCCCACCTGGTCAGTCGTCCTCCTTCCCTCCTCCCCCTCGACGACCAAAACGGTTAGACGCTTTAGTGCCCCTTCCGACCCCCGTAGGCCTCTGGGACTTCCAGTGGGACCTCTGCGGACCTCTGGAGACCGCGGCGGACCTCTTGAGACATCCTCCTCCTCCTCCTCCTCCTCCTCCTCCTCCTCCGCCGCCGCCGCCGCCGCCGCCGCCTTCTCTTCGTGCTCCCCCTCCTCGCCTCACTATCCTCCACCCCCTCATCTTCCTCCTCTTTCTTCGTTGCGCGCTGGCCAGGCGACCGCCCCGAGGGGATCGAGAGCAGATCCTTTCTCCACCTCCCCCCTTCATAGGTCTTCTTCGTTACCAACAACATTCTCCACCAGACGTGTCGTCTGGGCGGGCCAGAGACTTCCTACTAAGATATAATCCTGATCCCCGAAAGGAAGGACGGAGGTTGTGTGTTCAAGTGTGGCTCTCTCCTTCGTGCCGCGCACATTCTTGTCAGAAGCTTGCAACCCTTAAGTGGATATAGGACGGCACCTTGTCAGCATGGCACTCTCGTTGAGGACTTCGCCAGCTCTGATGACAAGATCTCCAATTGTGCACATCGTCTGCATGAATGGAGGGCCTCGCTTAAGTTTTCGCCGAATTCACCGACCCAGCTGGTGCAACACTCATGCGCGTGCAACGGCCTTTCTTAAAAAAGGGCTCTCGCAGGACACGCCCCGTCTCCGGCCTGTCTTCGCGCCCCCAGGGGGGCTGCCAACCGCATAACTGTCGCGGAGCGACGCGACACAGGCATCCAGACTGGCCCTCGCGGCTGCCCGTGGGCCAGCGAACTGGGCAAATGTCGGCACTTTCGTACGCTCCGCAGAGCTTCGACGTCGCGCTTCCAGGGGGGCTGCCGACTGCGCACCTGTCGGAAATGGCGTCGGCTTCCCAAAGGGCCAGCGGAGCTACGCCGCACGCGCATCCAGAAGAGACCCCGCGCTCCCTGGGGAGGGGGGCCGCCAACTGCGAAACTGTCGCCACTTTCGTGGGCTCCTGGGAGGGCCAACGGAGCGACGCCCCACGCGCATCCAGACGAGACCTCGCGCTCCCTGGAGGAGCTGCCAACTGCGCAACTGCTGCCTCTTCCGTGATCCCCTGGGAGGTCCAGCGGAGCTACGCCCCACGCGCATTCAGACGAGAGCTCGTGCTCCCTAGGGGGCTGCCAGCTGTGCACCCGTCGGCGCTATCGTGGGCTCCCAAGGAGGTCCTGTGGAGCTACGCGCGGCGCGCATGCAGACGAAACCTCGCGCTCCCTGCGGGGCTGCCAACTGCGCAGTTGTGGCCACTTTCGCGGGCTACGCGTTGTGCGCTGTTCTTCCGTCCAGACGCTTACGTCTTCCGTGCAGCAGCCATGTGTTTTGAAATGGACCCGTGGTCGCTGCCAATGTGTTACGACAGGGTTGGGTACGTCCCTGGGGAACGACAAAGGCTGGTGTGCTGCGGCATCGTTGGCGCATCCTGGGGTTGACTCTGGTCCTCTTCCCTCCCCCCTTTCCCCTCTCCTTCTTTTCCTCCTTTCTTCCCTCCCTCCTTTCCCTCCTCGCTCCCTTCCTCTCCCCCTTCCCTCTCCCTGCTCCACCGACGTGGTCATACGACCCCCTCCCAGACACCTCGGGCCCGTCCGCCACTTCTGACGCTCCGGGGGTGGGGGCGGTGAGTTGACCGAAGATCGGCCATCGGGCTCCTCCCGCCACGGACCCTCAGATCCATCAGCGATCGCTGAAGTCTGGCAGGACGCTGGGAGGCCACACGCCTGGATCCACATGCGGAACACGCGGGGGCAACCTTTGGAAACATATGGCGCGGTGAGCCCGGCCGCACGAGGAACGAGCGCCGAACATGCATGCGGCCACTCTATCCAGCTCTCGCTCTGGGGTGTCACGCCAGATGCATCCAACTTCCTGGCTGTCACTATCACCCCCCTCCCCGCCAGTGGCCGTCGGGTCTACCAGCGATTCCAGGAACTCTGGGCGGGATCGGTGCTCAGACCTCCGACGCCGTGGATGCTCCTCGGCGTGGGCCGCTGGAAACCTCGACCCTGTCAAGACGGGCCCTTCGCCGCAAGTCATACAGCCCCGCGGCCCGAAATCTGCCGACCCTTCGGCGGCGTGTGTGAGGCGCTGTCGTCGTCTTCGTCTTCGTCGTCGTCGTCGTCGTCGTCGTCGTCGCCAGGCCCAAGAAAAGGAAAACGAACAGAGAAAAAAAAAACGTCGCAGTTATGTCGGTTCCCTCCAAATTTTCCTCTCCCTGACGGGGGGCGGGGGTACGGCGAGTTGGGGTATGGGGGGGAGGTAGGACGGGGGGGGGTACGGGGCAGAGGCCTGGGTCAGACTACCGCCCGCCCCCCGCCGGCCCCACCTCCCCCCCCCCGGTCCCCCGTGGACAGGAAGGGCAAAGTGACAAGGGGGGGGGGGTCCTCCCAGTGAAGGGGGGGGGGCCTCGGGAAGGGTCCTGGGGGAGATCCCCCCTGGTGGGGGAAAATGGCCCCAAATTGGACTGCTACCCCCCGCAGGGGTCCTGGCGGGTCCCGCCTTCAGGGTCGGCGGCGCCGCCCGTAGGGCCTTTACAATCAAGACAGTACCTCCCACTGTGTTCTTGTTCGCATCGGGGCAGGTTCCTAACTGCGCGATGCGCGCCGCGCGAGTCGCGATGACTGTCGTGCTCTCGCGCGACCACTCTGCAGAAGGATAGTTCTTTTGCCCAGGCCGCGAAGTGAGAGCTGTGCCTATCGACGAGCCACCAAGGGTGACCTGGTGTAAGTAGGGACGGAGATCTCTGGAGGTCTCCGATGTCCTCGAAAGTCTCCAGAGGTCTCTGCAGCAGGTCTCCATGGGGCTCCTGCAGCCTGTGTGGGTCTCCATGGGGGCTCCAGAGGCATCTGGGAGCCCCCATGGAGCTCGGGAGGGTCTCTGGAGATCTCCGAGGCGTCTCCGGCAGTCCCCCCACACACACGCGCCCTCGGAGGGCCTTTTTTTGTTGAGCTCAACACTCCGCTGCCACAGGATTCCTGCACTGGGGGCAGGGCCCAGTGCAAGGCAGAGCCCTGGCGGCCCTGCAGGCCTCAGAAGAGAACCGCTACTGTGGAACACGCCTATCTCCGCGACGGGCCCAAGCCAACGCGGCCCCATCCATGTCGACCCCACCTAGGAGGCCTCTACCAGTGGGGGTCGTTTGGGGGCTATCGGGGGGGCCCACAGGCGGAGGGCTCCGCAGAGAGGGGAGCGGCCGGCTTTGAGAGCCATGCTCGACCTTTTGGGGGGCCTTCCACGGGCCCCAGGACCGCCAGTTGCTGGCAGGCGCTGCGCCATCCTTTCATTGCGCGCAGATCTGTGCCAGGACTGCGAGCTCAAAGGCCCCTTGCCGAGCATGCACTCGCAACGCCTGCGGTCCGCAACGAGGTGGGACGACACACTGGTCCTATAGGAAAGTCGCCCGGCAGACCCCCAGCGACCTACGCATCGCAAGTGCTGGAGCTCCAGATGCCTTGGGGGGGGGGCGGGCCCCCCCACCCCAAGGTTGCCCCCAGGATTTCCGGGGTGGCCCAGACGGCCTCCAGAGCACCCCTAACGAGGCCCAGAGGGCCACGGGCACTTTCAGCAACACCCGACCAGTGCACCCGCACCAAAGGCCACTCCGGCGAAGTGTCACTCTTTCGCTCTTGCGCGTAGCCGGCCCTGGCCCGCAACCCAAACACAGTGGCGGGATACCGGCCGAGTGCTACCCCGCCGACCGCCACCTCGTAGCATGGGGAAGCGGGTCCTGAGAGAAACGCGTCCTGGACCCTGGGGCCTTCCCCCAAGACGAGATCCTCATCCCGAGTCGTTTTCTGACAGTCCCGGGGCCCGTGGAGGGCCCTGGGGGGCCCGAAAGCTTTGAAAAACCGCAGGAGGGAAGGCCGACCCCACTCTAAGACTCCCTGGCAGGCGTCCGCAGGGGAACTTACTCCAGCTTGCGGCGGGTCCCGCGGAGCGTTTCGCTCCCAACACGCGTGCCGGAAGCTGCTGTCCGAAGGTCCTTCGCAGGTGCCTCGAAGCTCCTTCGACACTTCCCGCTTCCCTCAGGACCCGTTCCCCTCCTCTTCCTCCTCCTCCTCCTCTTCCTCCTCCTCCTCCTCCTCCTCCTCCTCCCTCATGGCGACACCTTGATGGCGGCCCGCCAGGACCACGCGGCTGCCCGCGATGGGCCGTCGTCGCTGCCCAGCTCCGGCGACGAGTCCGCCGTCGACCAGGCGGCGGTGGGCCCGAGGCTGCTGTCGTCCTCGAGAGGGAGCGGCGGCCACGACGATGGCCACGACGACGACCACCGCGCGAACGTGGGGCGACCTCCTCCTCTTCGTCCTCCTCCTCCTCCTCCTCCTCCTCCTCCTCGACAACCTCCTCCTCCTCCTCCTCCTCCTCCTCCTCCTCCTCGACCCCCGCCCCTCCTCCTCGACCCCCTCCTCCTCCTCCTCCTCCTCCTCCTCCTCCTCCTCCTCCTCCGCCCTACCACAAGAAACCTTCGACAAGAAACCCAACCCTAAGACCCCAGGACGTCCATTGATTTTTGGTGTGGGAACGTCACGCTTTCCATAGCGGAACCATCGAAGCCCAAGAAACCCAGGGCACCCTGGAGGCAAGCAGGGTGTTTCTTGGCAGGGGGCTCCACTGTAAGGTGCCTCTGGCCCAAGGTGCCCCCAGCTTCTTGTTCCATTTTAGAGTCCCTGGGGCCCTCTGGGCCTCGTGAGGGGTGCTCTGAAGGCCGTGTGGGCCTCCTTGGAAGTTCTGGAGGCGCCTTGGGCCAGGTGCGCTGCTAGCAGCACCCGAAGATGAGGGTATTGCCTTCGAGGATCGAAGGCGTCGTCATCTTCCTCGGTGGAAGGCGGCGCAAGGACAGCAAAAGTAAACGAGGCCACCCCCGCCGGCGGAAGCTGGCGGAAGGCCAGAGGAAGCCGGCGGAAATAAATAATAACCCTCCACAAAATGACGAAATCTTTAGGTTCAGGGTTTCCGGAACCCACCATGTGGTGCACGGAGCTGGTGTGACCTTCATTTGTATTTCCCTCGCCCTTGCGCCCGCTTTCTAAATCTATGCAATCCCTCCATTGCGTGTTTGTGTGTGTACTGCTGCCGAGTGTCGGTACGTCTGCTTTCACGAAGCCAACGAGAAGCGCTTCTGCTGGCATTGGCAAGGCGAGGCTTGCGGCAAGCAGTGGAGTTGGGATAATGACACCAGCGAGCTTCATCTCAGGAAAATGCGGTCCCCGCTGCCTGACCTCACCGAAGAAAGCTACCTGGGCGGCGCATGGGACGAGGCCGCTCCCGTGTCGCGGGTCGCCAACGCAGCCCTGGCCCACAACGACATCTACGGCCCCGCCTCGCACGCCTGGGAGGTACCGTACGGTTACCCGCCCTACGAGGCAGGCCCCGACTGGCAACCCCCGGAAGGCTTCGGGGTCAACATCCAGTTCCGACTCCCCTCGGGCGTTGCTAGAAGTGCCCCTGGCCAAAGGTGCCCCCAGGATTCCCGGGGTGGCCCGGACGGCCTCCGGACCACCTTAACGAGGCCCAGAGGGCCCTAGGGGCCCAAGAATGGAGCGAAAAGCTGGGGGTACCTTGGGCCAGGGGCACTTCTAGCAACACCCGATCCCCAGCTACGACGCCCGCCTCGCCTTGGTACTCGAGCGCCGCCCCCAGCCGAGTACCCCTGCGCTCCCCGCCGGGTGGCTGCCGGCCCTGCCCTCGTCGGGGGCGCGCAAACATGGATGAGCGATCCGTGGATTTGGCGCGCGGTCGCCAAACCCATGGATCGCGGGAGGTGCCCTCCCCAACATGCGGCCCACGCCGCCTCGCTCGGCGGCGGCAATCCGCCATCTCCCATGGAGACGGGACCCGTCGCCAATCCACGCCCCCTTAATCCATGTTTGCGATTACCTAAGAGGAGGGGGAGGAGGAGGAGGAGGAGGAGGAGGAGGAGGAGGAGGAGGAGGAGGAGGAGGAGGAGGAGGAGGAGGGGGAGGAGGAGGAGGAGGAGGAGGAGGAGGAAGATCCATGCTTGCGATCGCCTGAAGCTGCGACGCCCGCCTCGCCTTGGCGCTCGAGCGCCGCCCCCCGGCCGAGGTCCCCCCTCTGCGCTCCCCGCCGCCTGGCTGCCGGCCCTGCCCTCGGCCCCGCCTCCCGGCCCCGCCGGTGGCGCCCCGCGCCCCTCCCCCACAGGGCCGCCTCGGGGGGCCTCGCCGCCGCCCTCGCCCGCCACCCCCCGCGCCTCCTGCCGGGCCCTCTGCCCGCCCGTGCGCCTGCCTCTGCCTCTGCCTCCTCCTCCTCCTCCTCCTCCTCCTCCTCCTCCTCCTCCTCCTCCTCCTCCTCCTCGCCCCCGCCCTTTCCTCTCTGCCCCGGCCTCGCTCCCCCTGCAGCCGCCGCACCGCCTGGCACCCGGGCCGCCAGCGACCGCCCTCCCCTCCATTGCCTGAGGGCAGCTGGCCCTCGACGCGCGCCGATGGCTCCACGGCCCGTCGCCCCGTGGAAGCGCCGCCCCGGCGAGGTGCGCGTCGTGGCCGCGCGCCAGCCTCCCTCCCGCTTCCACGACGCTGGGAGCGCGACGTCGGCGACTGTGGCGAGAGCCTGCTGCACGCCTGGCGGATGCACCGCGCAGCGACCGCGGAGACTGCAGCAGACTCCCCCGACCATTGCGCCACTCTCTGGCCATCGCTCGGACGTCCATTCCCTGTGTTTTTTTCGGTTTCGTGCGTGGCTTTTTCGCCAAATGATCAAGGATGCTCCTCGATGGTCCTCGCCGAAGGAAAAAAATGCACACGTCCGAGCGATGCCAAGCTCTCGCTTTGGGCGCGCCGACGCCGCCCTCCACGCTCGTCTCGGGCAGCGGGCCGCCGACGACCCTGTGGTCGGCTTGGCCGGTCACCCCGAGGCCTCCGCTCTCCTCGACCGTGCCGGCCAGCGGTGGGCGCTCCGGGAGCCGTCCTGGCCCGCCCGCCGCCCCGACGCGGAGCAGCGGCGCTCCAGGTCCGGCCCCGCGGTCCACGCGCGCAGCTCGCTGTCCCTTGTCGCTCCCCTCGCTCGCACAGCTGCCCCCGGGTGGAGTGGCCCGGGCCGCCTGGGCCGGACGACCGCCGCCATCGAGGGCCCCCCCTGGCGCTTGCCTCGTGTGGCGGGATTCGTGCAAAGGCTCCCTCTGGAACGAAAGTTCGCTCGACTTCCTCCTGCAGCAAGGCCCGCGCCTCGACATCACCCGAGGGGAAATCCAATGGAATCGGATCCACGGGTACGTCCAGCTGATCTACGGACTTGAACGCGAGCCCACTGCCAGGCGGGGATGCGTGGTCACGCTGGAGGCCGTCGCCATCGCCTGCGACATACAGGCAACAGACCGCAAGCGCATCCTGCGGTGGGAGCGCGCCAGGGAATGTTGCACCGGGCTAGCGAGGCTGGCCGACAAAGCGCTCGGGCCGCACGACACCGACAGCTTCCCTCTCTCCCTGGGCTCGCCTGTCCTCGCGCCCACCTCGGCTACGCGCGGGAGTGACCCTGGGCAAGAATGACCTCTGGTGCGCGGCGTGTTGTGGGCCGCGGGGTGAACGAACACAGGCGCGCAAGATGCTACTATCGCGCCGCGTTTGGCGATCGGCGTCCCCAGTCTGCCCGCGCCGAAGGTCACTCCGGCGACGGGTCACTTTTACGTCTAGTCGACCACCGTCCCAGCAGATGACACCGCCTCGGACGCCCCCGGCCGCGGGCGCCCGCCCGCTCCAGCCTTCCTGCGTCCGCACAGCTCCCCGAAGGCGCCAGCTCCCCCGACGCGGGCGCCGAGGCACGCTCTGAAAACAGCTACGACCCCGACGACGTGGCGACCGAGCCCGCCAGATCTCCCGACGCCGACCCCGTCGACGCGGGCTCTGGCATGCGTGACGTGGAGGAGCCCAACCCTGGGCGCGGCTCCCGGGGTGCTGCTACTCATGGCCCCCCCGTGACCCCCTGAGCTCGTCGAGCGCGTGCGCGACGCCTACCGCCTCAACGCACACCGGGCCCGCGCTCTCCACTCCGCGTCTCGTTTTCGGCTGTTCTGCGTGCAGGGACCCCCTGGGGGACTGGCAAACACCACGCCGCCCGCGCTCTCGCTGCCCTCCACGCCCACACTTGCCCCCGCACCTCGCGGGGCGACGGGCTCTGTTGCAAGATTGCTGCTGACTAGAACCCCGTCGGCGGCCCCTTTGGACTCTGCTGACCTCGACAAGACCACGGATTCCGTCAAGTCCCTCGCTCCAGCTGGCAGGTGGGCAGCCCTGCGCCGCAATCCCCCCGTCACCAAAGGCGAGCGTGAGGCCTTCCTGGAATTCTCTCGCAGGCTGAGCGACTTCGCTCCCATTGGCGTCACACTGAAGAAGGCAGTGACCCTGCGCCACTACGGGAGACAAAGGGGCGGGATCGGATGCCGCGCCCTCCTGCCGGAAGGAGCCGACCAGCGCCCGAGGCTATCGCCATGGCCCCGTTCACTCTTGCCACCTTGGACAACGCCCCCTATCGTCCTCATCGGGGGCCACGCGCAGCTTCCGCCCAGCTCCCGCTCTGAGGCCGCCGCCGCCCTCGGGAGCCTCGCGCGACGCGCCGGCCCTGCCGCCCCCCCCCGGCTTCCCGCGGCCCCTCCGACGCGAGGTCTTCCAGGGCGAGCCCTTGGCGAGGGCGGGCCTGGGGGCCCCAGCTGCCCTCTGGCCCCGCTCCCCTGCCCTGCCCGGGCCGGCGGGCCGCGCTTCCGAGGCAGCGGCGCCGCCTGCGCCTCCGCCTCCGCCTTCTGCGCGCGATCTCTGGCAGCTGCGCGCGGCCCCGCTGCCTTCGACGGCCCCCTTGCCTCGCCCCTCGGCGACGCCGACCGCGTCGTCGTTCTCCATGTGCCCTCCGTCGAACACACCCGCGGGACCAGCATCTGCGACCCCGCCGAAGCGAGGGTCCTCTTCGATCTCCTGGACGGCGGCGTGCCTGGGCTCGAGCCTGGTACCTCCGTCAGCGTGCTCGCTCCCCATCGGCTGCAAGTGGACCTGCTCTGGGGCGGATGGCCTTGGCGCGAGCCCGGTGGTTATCGGGCTGCAAACGCTCCTAGGGCGCCTCTGCCTTGCTTCCGTTCGCACTTTACCCTTCTTCCGACCAGCTCGTTGCCTGGGATGAAGACCAAGTGGAGCAACGCCTAGTTCCATACCATTGACCAGGTGCAAGGGGACGAAGCCGACTTGGTCGTCATTGCCTGTTTACGGCCCAACGGCAACTTTCACCTCGGGTACCTTGACTGCCCCCGCCGCTTCAACTTTAGCAATGACTCGCGGCAAGCGAGGCTGCAGCATCATCATCATGAATGCCGCCATGGCGCAGGCGCAGGCCAACAACGGCGCGCAAATCGGGACCTTCGTCGAGGCTGCGGACCGCGCCGGGCTCCTGTGACAATTTGTCCAGCCTGTCAGCTCCGTCGCGCTCAACCGCTCCTCCTCCTCCTCCTCCTCCTCCTGTTTCCCTCCGCGACGCCAACGGGGGCGGCGCCTCCCTTCACAAGGTGCCCAAGGACGACCAGGCCAGCTCCGCCCCCCGGCCTGCAGGGCTTTCTTGCGTGTGCGAAGAACTGCACCTTGTGCTTCGTAATTTGGTCGTCGTCATCGTCGGAGGCGGTTGTGCTGTGCGCGAGCCCCGATGGCCTCCTCCTTTTTCCACCTCCTCCATCTTCTCCACTTTCTCCGCCGCGTTGTCTTATTTCCCATTCAACGGCAGGGTTATGAATCACTCTTGAGTGTGCTCAGGCTGATTCTGAGCTTCGGGTTGATGGCTGCCTCACCTCGTTGTTCCACTGTATTATCCTGCGCTTCCCGGAACAAAGTAGCTTGCCTGGCGATCGTGTCTTGATGGGCCGGCGGATATACTTCTGATCGCGAGCGCAAGCGGTACAGCCGCACGCCGTCTGAAGCTACGACTAACGAGCGATCGCCTAAATTGCATCGGAGGGGGAGGAAGAGAGAGCAACAACAACGGAGGACAGCGGGAGATGAGACAAGCCGGGGCGGGCCGCGCGGCGCTCACAGGGGGGGTGCCATCGGCAGCAGCAGCAGCCAGGGGTGCACGCCAAAATGGCGATAATTGGCTGGCAGTGTGGTGTCCCGAGGCCGCGGCGAGGGGCAACCCCGCAAGGGGTAGCGATCCGCAAGCACCCGCGCCAGTCCAGGGGGCAGTGCGCGGTGGGCTTAGCAGGGCAAGGGCTATGCACCACAGCAGGGGGTCAAGCCTTCAGGTGCGACGGAACCCGTGGGGCTGGCGGCGGCACGAATGAGCGGCGACTTGCCAGCAGTGCGCGCCGCAGGACAGGCACGCCGAAAGCGGACTGAAGGCAATCAGCCGCGCGGCGACACCAGTGAATAAGCCAGCTGGCATGCAGGCGCTCGACGGACGGGAGTTCGGATCGCCAGGACCGGCAGGAAGACGGAGGTGTCGGATCCCGCTCGGGGAGCAAAAGGGAACGCTACCCGCACTGTAGGGGGCGAGCCGACAGGCCAGCGGACCCCAGGTGGGCGTGGGGAGACCGCCGCAAGCCGAGAGCCGCGGTGGGCGGATGGGCCGAGGTGGCGAAAGGGCAGCAAAGGGTGGGCAAGCGACCAGTAGTGACGGCCCGCGCCCGCCGTGCGGCAGGAGGGAAAGAGAGGAGCCCAGGCGGCGCCTTCGTGCAGAGCAAAGGCCGCCGGGCGGGGGCGCCGTGGCGAAGGGGGCTACGGCAGTGAAACGCCTCCGACGCGCCTAGTGCCCCGGAGCCAAAGGCGGGGGCAGAGGCGTCGAAGGTGCCCCGTGCGGCCCACGCGGGGCGTGGGGCAGGGGGGGTGGCCCAGCGCCAGGAAGCGAGGAACCACGAGCCAGACCAGCGACACGGGCGCACCGGTGGGCAAGGAACCAGCGGGACCAGGCGCGAGCCGTCAGCCCCAGCCGGGGCGCGCGCCTGGCAGTATTGGACGCGAGGCCGAGGCGGCCTCCAGGGGGGCCGCGGGGAGGGCCGGCGTGGGGACCAGCGGGCAGCGGCGGGGAGGGAAGAGGGCGAGGGCGACACCCCAGCCCACGCGGCGCAGAGCACGGAAACGACCCGCGCTCGCGGGAGTGCGTGAGGAAGGGGGGAAGAAGCGCACAGCGCGCGGGAGGCCGGCAGGAGAGCCGGCACCCAAAGGGGCGTGCGACACGGTCGCGAACATGGGAGGGCGCAGGGGCGACTAACGGTCGCAAGTATGTACTTGTGTAGTGCTCGCGGGAGTGCGAGAGGGGGAATGGGGAAGCGCGCGGTGCGCAGGCCAGCAGGAGAGCCGGCACCAAAGGGGGGGCGACAGGGGTCGCAAGCATGGGAGGACGCAGAGGCGACTAACGGTCGCATGAACTGGTATAGAATGGCCGAGGCGGCGTAGGCGCAGGTGAGGCGCAGAGGCGACCAACGGTCGCATGAACTGGTGTAAGCGGCGTGTGGGCTGGCGGGTATACTTTTTGGTCACAGCCGCAGGCGAGCGCGCCAGCGGCGAGTGAGGTCCGAGCGGGCCGCGCAAGAGCCGAATTGCCTAACGCCGACGGGCCGGCGACCTTAGCAGCGCCGCGGCGGGCGGGCCGGCGAGAGGGTGTGTGTGCAGGCTGCGGCTGCCAGGGACCACATCCAGGAACACGCGCATGCAGGAATTACCAACCAGGGTTGGGGCGCAGCCAAGATGGCGCGGGGGTCCTGGCGGGTATACTTTTTTGGTCAGCGGGCAGACGCGTAAAGCAGTTGCCGAAAGGGGGGTCCGGGGCACGGTCCTGCCTAGTTAACTACCGAGCCACGCGCGAGACGACCGGGCCAGCACTCAGAAGCGGCTGCCGGGGGGCTGCTGCTGGGGGGAGCTGGCTGGGAAGTCTGCAGACGGTCAGGGTAACTGGTGCAACGTGCATGACGGAGGCTGAAAGACGCCAAAGTGGAATTAAGTCCTGCACGCCAGGAAAGCATGATCGGCTCTGTACCTGCGACCACGCATCAAACTAGCGGAGCGCTTCCGCTGCCGGGCAACCCAGTAAGCGGCGCGCTACCAGGAACAGGGAGCTGGAAGCCACGCGTTCGAGCTCAGGTACCATGGACAAGAGTGACCAGGTACAGTCTGACCATGTCGCCTACAGGGCGCCAAGAGCCAGGGCCACAGCGGTGTCGAGGTACAAGCCGAATGGGCGGGGACAGGGCGCCAGTGGGGAAGCACGGTGTCTGCTGGAAGGCTGCACCACTCCGCGACACATCACGTAAGCCCCGAAGTCTACGCCAGACCCGGGCGGCAGCGGCGAGTAAAGACCAGGCCCCAGGGAACGACTGCACCAGGGAGCCTGGCCAGGGGTGTGCGTCGTGGGCGCCGCACGGAGGGGACCGCGTATTGCGAAGCGGCAAGAATTCTTGTAGGGACGTGTGCAGAGGGATCCCGGACCATGTTTTTGGTTGGTTTTTGGTTTTTGTCAACATCGCTGATGCGCTTTGGGCTTACACTGGTCCTCGTCCTCGTCTTCGTCCTTGTCGTCGTCCTCCTTCTTCTCTCCCTCCTCCTCCTCCTCCTCCTCCTCCTCCTCCTCTTCTCCTCCTCCTCCTCCTCCTCCACCCCTCCTCCTCCATCTCCACCTCCACCGCCTCCTCCTCCTCCTCCTCCTCCTCCTCCTCCATCTCCTCCTCCTCCTCCTCCCTCCCTCCGCCGTCCTTCTTTCTTTTTGTGTGCTAGGACATACATCCTCTTTCTCAAGCCAAATGAGCCGCAACGCTTTCAAGGATGTAAGGCCTGTCGTTTCCAAATGCGGCTCTCGCCTTGGCGCCGCGTGCGTTCTCTGTTGATGACTCCAGCAAATACAAGGGTGGAGGGCTGGCCGCTTTCAAAATGCGGCTCTCGCCCTGGCGACTGTTAAAGCTCCCAATAGTTGCCAATATTGAGCGCGTTTCGTTTTCAACATGTGGCCCTCTCGTTAGCGCCACTCGCATTCGTCTCAAGAGAAATATACACTTACACGGATGGGGCGGGTGGTCTTCAAAATGCGGCTCTTTCATAAGCGCCGCGCGTACTCGTTTTAAGAGTTATCCCGCAATTGCGATGATGGATGCCGTTCGTTTTCAGGATGTGCGGTCATCGCTTGAGACTTCCTCGAGTCCTACGATTCGAAAATACATTTTGTGCAAAGGTCACACACAATGAGGGCGGCTCCTTTTCAACATGGTGCTCTCGCCTCAGACATCCACAATCTGTTATGATCACGACTCTGAATTTGCGCAACACCTGCCACCCTTTTCAGAAAGAACTGCCGCTCGACCCGTGCCAGAACTTTGGCACTGTATCTCTTCGGGTTCACCTTTTTTGGGGCCAAACAGAACACCCGGGCGACACATCCCGAAGGGAGGTGCCCAAGGTGCTTGCATGAAGCACGTGCAGTCGGACCTCGCAGCATGAACGGCAGCACGGACGCGTCCCATGCGTCACATCTGCGCCGCCGTTGCGGGATGCCTCGAGGTGCGCTTCCCGCAGTGGAAAAGAATACGTGCCTGTAGGGACGTATGCGGCGCGGCCTCGGGACGCGAGGGTTGTGCTGCAGCCTCGCGGATGCCGCGCCCGCAGACGTAGGCCCTGCTGGCCTGCAGTCTCCAGCAGCGACTTCCGGGATGGAGCCTATCTGCGGGCCACCAATGCTGCTGCTGCGGCGGCCACCCACCGAGCTTTTCGGCGCACGGATGCTGCTGCTGCTGCTGCTGCTGCTGCTGCTGCTGCTGCTGCTGCTGCTGCTGCTGCTGCTTCTCTTCCTCCCCCTCCCCGTCTGCGTGGTGCTCCCCTCCCCTCGTGGCCCTCTGGTGGTCCTCGCCCCAGTCGGCGCGCTCGCAGATCATGATCGCGTCCTCCTTCGGGGGGGGGGGGGGGGGAGGACGAGGAGGGCAGAGAGGAGAGGGGGGGAGGGAGGGGAGGGCGGGGCCTCCCTCTGTCCTTCCCCCCCCTCTCCTTTCCATTTTCCTTTTCCTTCCTTCCCTCCTCACGTCTTTCCCACTCCCTCCCCTCCTCCTCCTCTCTCCACCTCCTCCTCCTCCTCTCTCCTCCTCCTCCTGTCCCTCCTCCCTCCTCCTCCTCCTCCCTCCCCCTCTCCTTCCTCCTCCCTCCCCTTTTTCCTGATGAGTAACCCCTCCCTGTCGCGCTGGCGTGTCCGTATTCCGCGCCAGGCGTTTCGATTGAGACTTCCCTGCAGCGGACTGCCCCGAGGCTCACACACATCCTACAACTACTCGGGCGGAGGACGGCACCTCTTCGAACTGTGGTTCTCACCTGGTTGCCGAGCACCCTCCACCCTCCTGCTCCTCCTCCTCCTCCTCCTCCTCCTCCTTCCTCCTTCCTCCTTCCTCCTTCCCCCTTCCCCCTTCCCCCTTCCTCCTTCCTCCTTCCCCTCCTCCTCCCTTCTCCCTCCTCCTTCCCCTCCTCCTCCTCCTTCTGCCTCCAACAATTACACGGCTGGAGGGTGGCCTCTTTTCAAACATGTGGCCTTCGCCCGCGCGCCGCGCACATTCGTCTCATATGCTTCCGGCAGTTCAGCAGGTGGGGGCCAGTGAGTTTCCGAAGTTGTTATCTCCGGAAGTTGCCTCAGCACACATCGCCACACTTGTAACATAGTGCAACCGTTGCACGTATGAATGGCGCTTCTTTTTCAAACAGGGGCTTTCGCCTGAGACATCCTTAGATGGTCTGTACGACCACAAGCAAGCTTGTGCAATAGCTCCAAGTGTGGACAGCGGGCTCTCTTCAGAGCGGGGTTGTCGCTGGGTGCTCACTTCGGCATTCTGACCTCGCCTCGTCGCCTGCTTCATTCGGGCGCGCGCAAACATGGATTAGCGATCCATAGATTTGGCGCGCGGTCGCCTCATCCGTGGATCGAGAGAAGTGCCCTCCCCAAGATGCGGCCGGCGCCGCCTCGCTCGGCGGCGGCAATCCGCGATCTCCCATGGAAGCGGGACCCGTCGCTAATCCACGCCCCCTTGATCCATGTTCGCGATCGCCTGATTCATAGCTCGAAATCTGGAGGGCGCTTCTTTCAAACGGGAGCTCCCGCCCGAACTGAGGGCCCATCGGGCGTTCGCCGCTCGGGGGGCGCCGCGCGCAGGGAAGAAGAGCTGCTGCGGGAACTAGATCGGAGGAGACTCATGACGGGAGGGTGTGTTGCAGCGTCTCCTCCTCCTCCTCCTCCTCCTCCTCCTCCTCCTCCTCCTCCTCACCCTCCCTCCTCCTCCTCCTCCTCCTCCTCCTCCTCTTCATCCTCCTCCTCCTCCTCCTCCTCCTCAACCCTCCCTCCCCCTCCTCCCCCGTTGCCGCTTCGGCTCAAGATGAAAACCTTTGCCCTGGGCCTTCCAGCTTGTCTGCAGCCAAGGGGTTGGCCCAAAGCTGCCTGCCTCTGCATTCTTTACAAGTGCACGATCCCTCTTGGGAGCTTTCCCGGAACGCCATCGGGCTTCAGGTTACCCTCCCAAGTACAATCATGCAATGTCCCAGCGCATGGCAGCAACACCATTTTGTGCCCAATTATGCTTCTCAACACCTGGTTGGTCAACAATGCAACCAGCCCAACCGGCCCAACCATCCGCAACAACATTGTTAGCCGCCCAGCGCTCATTCGCCTCCTTTTGCAAGCCGTTTGCCAGCAGGCTGTTTTCCAGAGCCTTCTCCAGTGGGTCGGGCCCTGGAGCGGGGCGGCACTGTACACATCAGCCGCGGCACCGCCACACTGGAAACGTGTGAGGTTTGACAAGCCCGCAGTGCGGGCGAGTCTGCCACTTCACAGAGCTCGTGCCCCCGAAAGGACCCAGAGGTGAGCCGATGGGACAAGCTTAGTGCTCCCACCCGGGGGCAGCCTGAGGACGAGACGCCGAACTTCTTGCCTGAGGCTGCCTCCCCTCCTCCCTCGCCTCGCGCGGGGCCGACAAGGATGCCCCGCCCGAGGCCCCCTCCGTGACGCCCGAGGCCTCGCCTTCGGCGGCCTCGCCCGCGGAAGCCGCTGCGTCTCCCCCTTCGTGAAATCGCTCGGGGGCGCCGCCAGCGGCGGATCGCCCCACGGCGGACGCGGCCAGGCCCGCGTGTCCGGCATGTGGGGTGCCTCCTGGCGGGTCCGTGCTCGTCTCTCCCCCCATCCACTTGACCACGCGTTGCCTGCCGTGCCATGGTGGCACCACCACCACCACCACGTCCTCCCTCCCTCCCTCCCTCCCTCCCTCTTCTTTGACCTCCTCCCCACTTTCCCTCCCTCCCTCCCTCCCTCCCTCCCTCCCTCTTCGTTGCCCTCCTCCCTCCCTCCCTCCCTCCCTCTTCGTTGTCCTCCTCCCCACTTCCCCCCTCCCTCCTCACTGCGCCGCCCTCTTCGGGCCTTGATCTGGTGCGTGGTCTTCTCCTCCTTCGAGATACGCAGGTCCCACGCGCTAGCGACCATGCGTGGCCGCCGGGCGCGCGCGGCGCCCAGCGGCAAAGAAGGCGCGCGGGCGAGCGCGCGCCTGGTGCCCGGGTGCCAGCGGAGCGTCAGTGGAGGGCGGAGGGGGAGGCGGAGGGGGGAGAGGGAGGAGGAGGAGGAGGAGGAGGAGGAGGAGGAGGGAGGAGGAGGAGGAGGAGGAGGAGGAGGAGGAGGAGGAGGAGGAGGAGGAGGAGGAGGAGGAGGAGGAGGAGGAGGAGGAGGAGGAGGAGGAGGAGGAGGAGGAGGAGGAGGAGGAGGAGGAGGAGGAGGAGGAGGAGGAGGAGGAGGGGAGGAGGGGAGGAGGAGGAGGAGGAGGAGGAGGAGGAGGAGGAGGAGGAGGAGGAGGAGGAGGAGGAGGAGGAGGAGGCGGAGGAGGAGGAGGAGGAGGAGGATGGAGGAGGAGGAGGAGGAGGAGGAGGAGGTGGAGGAGGAGGAGGAGGAGGAGGAGGAGGAGGAGGAGGAGAGGAGGAGGGAGGAGGAGAGAGGGAGGAGGAGGCGGAGGAGGAAGAGGCGGACTAGGAGGAGGCGAGGGGTTCCCGGGGGGCGGCGATGGGGGAGAGGGAGGAGGAGGAGGGGGCGGACCAGGAGGAGGCGATAGGGGACGGATAGGATGATTATTCAGAGGGTGATGGCGGTGATGATCGCAATCGTGATGACGATGCTGATGATGTTACGTATGAGGGTGATGTTGTTGATGCTGATGATGATTGCGACGATGATGACGATGCTGCTGCTGCTGATGATGACGTTGTTTGTAGCTTTGCGCCACGGGGCCGATGGCAATGACAGGATGGCAATCGATGAAATCAGCATCTCGTAGCATTGAGAAAAAAAACTCAATGCAAGGCTGCGCGTGCCAACGAAGCCAAACCATCTCAGTCCTGGCAGGATGCGCGCCGAGGCACCACAGCACGCAGAGCAGGAGGGAGGAGGAGAGTCCTTGCGCGCGTGCTGGGGGGGGGGGCGCCGCGATCCCTGTCAAGCAACGCCATGCGGGCCACTCGCGCCCGTCGGCCGCGCGCGCATGTCGAAATCACTTCGCAACCTTCATCGCTGACACGTGGACACCATCATCATCGTCGCGTGATCAGCATCGGCGCCGTCAGTGGCCTTGCCGTCGTCATCGTCATCGCCGTCACCAGCATCGCTACAATCATCACCGCGTCTGCCGTTGTCGACGTCGCCATGATACCTCGCCCACCCGAGTCACGGACTCTCACTGAACTGCCCGCGTGTCAGCGCGGCCTGCCAGACGCCTCGGGAAGTTCCCGGAGTCAGCGCCACCGCGGCCGCGTCGGTCGCGCCAGACTACACTGTTTGGGGTCCACGCTGGCTGACATTGTTTGTTCAATTCCCCCCAAAAAGGCTGGGGCTAAAACGCTCCGGCTAATTTTAACTTCCAAACTAAATCCATCCGCCAGAAGTAAATCATGTTGATTATACAACTTTCGACAGGGATAGATGTACTCTGGTTGTTGCCCCGCCCCTCCCCCACAAACCCTTCACTGGATGTACAAAACCCTTCAAGAACAAGCATCCGACTGGATTCTTTTCTTCCAAGCCGTCCGCCGAACCTTTCTTCAATGTATGCGTGTGTGAGTGTAGATATACATCGATGCGTCGGTGATCATCTACTGCAAGGCCTCAGCAAGAGGGAAGCAACCTCGGACCGGAGAGGTAAGCGTCGTCGGGCCGCAGGTTGCTTGCTGCAATGTCCACCAGAAGGAAACACGCTTTGGCGGAGTTCTGTTCGAGCTGATGCCTTCTCCCGTTGGATCTTTCTGTTCGAGGCGCGCTGCCAGAGCAGCCAAGGCCATGCCCTGGCCCACGTGGCACGCAGAGCTTGGAGCAGCCCCGCGCCCTGAGCCCCACGGAGCCAGGATAGGTAACGAGGGGGAGGAAGATTGAGGAGGGTGGATTGAGGAAGGGGGGATCGAGGCAGGAGGGATCATCCAGGAGGGAGTATCGAGGATGAGAGGGGGGATGACTGAGGAGGAGGGTGGATTGAGGAAGGGGGGATCGAGGCAGTTGGGCTGGCCAGCTTGCCATATGTTGCCGAAGAAACCCGGGTCCACAACAAGGACCCCCCCCCTGCGCATTTCGTGACACCTAAGCGTGGGGTGTCCCACCGCGCCGCGTGTCGGGGCGCCCTCGGCGCGCCGGTGGCTGTCCGCGACGGTGCCGTCGGCGGGGGTAGCCTTCGTTGGCGCTTGCTGGGGCTCGGAGCAGGCCCCTGGACTGTCGGATTGTCGGCGCAGCTGCGCACTCATCCCCATGCAGGCCAATATCAAGGGGCCCAAGGACACACAATTAAGTGCACAAATAAGATGACTCCTCATATTTTCCCATATTTCCAGGGCTTTTGTCTTCCCGCCCAATTCCCTTTCCTATATTTTCTTGGGATCGACGATTCATTGTGTCTGTGTGTTTTTCCCCCTCCTGACAATACCTCGAACGCCCTGGCTCTGGGGGGGCGGGAGAAGCACGGGCCTCCGCGCTGGAGCATTGGGGCACGAAGGAGGAGGAGGAGGAGGAGGAGGAGGAGGAGGAGGAGGAGGAGGGAGGAGGAGGAGGAGGAGGAGGAGGATCCCTCGAGGAGGAGGAGGAGGAGGCGGAGGAGGAGGAGGAGGAGAAGGAGGAGGAGGAGGAGGAGGAGGATCCCTCGAGGAGGAGGCCAGCTCCGGCGCCGACGGCGACGAGGCGGGCAGGGACCCTGTCGGGGACTCTCGGCCCGTGGTGCCGCGGCGGTGGCCCCGAAGGGGGCACGGTGTGCCCCAGCAAGCGGGCAGCGCGCCGCTCCGCTCCCCGTGCCGGCGGGATGGGGGAAGCTCGGGGCACTGACGTCTGGGCGTGGGGGCAGGTTCCCGATCGTAGCGGGGAGGCTGGAAGCACGCACGAACACGCAGAGCTTTTGGAGGCCACGAGCCGGAAAGGTGTTCGGCCGAGTGTGCCACCGGCTCTCGCCCAGGACGGCAGCATCAATTAAAGTGGATCCAGTTTCCTGGCGCTGCCAAGAGTATCAGAGGATCAAGGGACCAAGACGCTCCGCTTGTCCAGGGGACGCCGTCACCAGAGCACGTCCCCGAGATACCCTTTCCTCACCGTTCCTCCTCATTCTCCTTCTCCTTCTCCTTCTCCTTCACATTCTTTTCTCTGTCTCTTTCTCTTATCTTTCTCTTTCTCTTTCTCCTTCTCCTCCTCTTCCCCACTCCTTCTCCCCCATTTTCCCTCTAAAGACACCTTTTAAGCTCTATGAAAGCTCCCCAAACGTCCCACTCCGCCGCCTCATTCAACTCATCGTCCTCCTCCTCCTCCTCCTCACCCTCCTGCTCCTCTCCCTGCTTACAACCTCAAGGGTTGGCGCAGGGGTGGCCGTGCTCTTCGATGCTCTTGAGGAAAGGGCTTGAGGGGGGCCTCGGTGGCTTAACACTGTCCTCCTCCTCGCTCCTTGCTCCTCCTCGCTTCTTCTCCTTGATCCTCATCGTGCCTCCTCACTCATTCTCCAGGAGGATCGGAGTTGTTTGCCCTGTTTGTGCCTCTTGAAGTCTCAGGAGACCTCACTTCGACCACCAAAGAGCCAGGGCGCGCGACGCCCCTCCAGCAGCCTTCCGAGGCCTCGACAAGCATCGATCCGAAAACGCACGAAGCATCAGCGGACAGCCAACACGTCCGCCCACCGAAACCGATCCAGAACTGCCCCCCCCCCCCCCCCGCAGAGACAAGGCAATACCGCCATGCGTCCGAAAAGGTATCGTACTGCCCGCGAGCCTCGATCTCGAACCCTGCCCCCCAAATGCCCACAACGCTGCGCTGGGTGAGGGCCCGGCGCAAACTGCGCCCAGGCTTAAGTCGGGCCTGTCCCCCTACAGGGGGATCTTCGACGAAAAAGAAAAAATACCCACAAAAATAATCAACAATGCTCCAAAAATGGTCTGGGGACCATTTCTTTATTATTTTTTTTACCCTTTTGGGATATTTTGGTGGTATTTTTTTAAATTTTTCGTCGACAATTCCCCTGTAGGGGGCCCGGCGCAGACTGCGCCCAATGCCCCCCGCGGCGAGGGCAGGCGCGGCCCCCGCCTCTTCTGCTCCTGCTGCCGCTGCCGGTGCGCCGCCCTGGCCGCCAGCTCTGCGCCCCTTGCCTGGGGGGGCCCGATGGCTGTCCCGACGGATGTCTCGAGTAGGAGGAGGAGGAGGAGGAGGAGGAGGAGGAGGAGGAGGAGGAGGAGGAGGAGGAGGAGGAGGAGGAGGAGGAGGAGGAGGAGGAGGAGGAGGAGGAGGAGGAGGAGGAGGGGGGAGGAGGTGGAGGAGGAGGAGGAGGAGGAGGAGGAGGAGGAGGAGGAGCAGGAGGAGGCGGAGGAGGAGGAGGGGGATGAGGGGGAGGAGGAGGAGGGGGAGGAGGAGGAGGAGGAGGCGGAGGAGGAGGAGGAGGAGGAGGAGGAGGAGGTCTTGCGTAACCCTGGGTACAGTCGGGCCGCTGAAAGAAGGAACGCCAAATGAGGAACGAAGCCCCTGCTTTGACCCCAAACCCGCCTGCGTGGACGAGGAACGCCAGAGAAACAGCCATGGGAGGACCTGCTAAGTGGAAGGCACGTCGAGCCCCTTCCCAACCCGAACGGTTCCTTATTTCAGCGTCTTGGCTGTAAGAGTGACCTTTGGTGCGCGGCTCATTGGAGGCCGCAGGGGGACCAAACACGGGCGCGCAAGAACACCGCATCGCGTTCGGCGATCCGGGCGCCCCCTTGGGCCCGCACCAAAGGTCACTCTGGCGAACGGTCACTCTCACGTGCAGTCGAATGTCCCTGCTGCCTCGATGGTCCAGGATGGTCCTCGTGGTTTCTCGCCGGGAAAAAGTGCACACGTCCAAGCGATGCCAAGCCTGTGGAGGGACGCCTTCCGTACCGTGTGGGCCTCGTGAGGACTCCTCGCCGGCACGGCCGGGCTCCCCTCGAGGTGCTGGCCGGCGTGCTCGACGGTCGGGCCAGAACGCACCCCTGGAGGATTCAGCATCGATGAAGGGGCCCTGGGACACACAAATAAATACA